AACAGGTTGAGATTGAAAAACAGGACAGCACAGATTCACACAAGATTAAAGATTAATACAATTACAGATACAATTGAAATGATATACAGTTAAGTAACTTTTAAAATAAGAAATTAATTAAATTAACATATATACATATTAAAGTGCACCTATCATGCTATTTTAAAAAGGCATATATTAAGGCTCTCAGATATATAAAAATATATAAAAACATGTCTATGATGTGTTTTGCTCAAAATACAAACAGATCATGCATTTTAGAAATCCCTCATATCCCTCTATTCCAGCTGTTAGAGAAACGCTGATTCTGGGTCCTTAGCTTGAAAAAAGGAGGAGGCGGAGCTAATGCCTGATCAGAATTCTACCGGAGATAAAGTTAAATTCTGCTGTGATAAAACGCCATCCTGTTCTAAACCACATCAAGGATTATTTCTGAAACAGTTTGGAGCTCAAATGCTTTTTCTCTTGCGGGTTTATCACAAGGTGAGTTCCTTTTTTTATTTCCTGCTTTTAAAAACACATGTGCTCTCCAGTACAGGTTAGCTCTGAGTGTTAGCGAGGCTTGCTAATGTAAACACAAGACGAGATTACGTCCAAAACACGTCAGGCATTGTTTCTGATAGCAACTCTCTGTGGGTCCACCATCCGAAATTACGTCATATCGGCAGCAAATCTGGATCAGCTCCGTTGTACCCCCGTTTTTAAAAGATGTGGGTACGGAGGAAAAGAGAGAGGGTTTTATTTTCTGACGCTGCGTGAGTTCCCTGACACACCGGGGACACATTTTTATGTATAAAAGACATCACAAAGTGCATTTTGCATGATAGGTCCCCTTTAAATATATGTACATGTATGGTAAAAAGTTATTTTGTAAACAGGGTATATTTGATGTACAGTACTTTACGTGTTACATTGTTGACCCTTGTTGTGCAGCCTGATAGCAGATATTGTAAAAAATAAATATATAAACTCACCCAGAGATGACCCAGGGTTCTGCGTGCTGGTCTGAGATATTAAACAATCTTCCTCCCAGGACTTCAACATCCTCCAGGTGTCCCTCTCTGGCCATCAGGTAGCCGTACACATCCATTCCTGCACGAGAAAATCACGTAACTGACATGTTTCTAGGACTGTACCTAAATGTCTTTTAATTTTTTTACATTCAATTCGTCTCCTGAGGTTTTAAAATGAAGCTTTAAATGTCATATTTTATAACATAATCACCCTTTAAAAGTCAATTATATCCTCAAATATAATCCAGAATATTAATAAAGCGAGTCCTCTGATAAATTGTCTTTTTTTGTATCAATTCCACTTTCTATAATCTAACTTGTTCTCAACATTAACAAGTTGTAAATATATGTTTATATAGTATACTAGTTGCAGACTAAGGACAGAGGACTGCCCTTTAAGTTATTCATAATTTGCCAAAACCCTCAGGGGAATATAATGAAACAAAAAGTATAATACGGTTATTACTGTAGCCTAATCTTTAAATGCAGCAGTGCAGTAATACTGGCTCTAAACAGAATGAATACAGATGCAAAAGCTGCATAGCAAGAGTTCATTTAGACTCAATATGTCAACATTAAAGCTATCAAGAATTCAGTAAAGCCCTAAATGCGTTAACATGGAGGGTGAATCTGGTGCTAAAGTATTGAGCTCATAGCACGGGTTAGTATTTTAAAGATAAAAGATATGAAAAAGGGTAACTAAGAAGAAACATTTGAACAGTTTGGGACAGATGCTTGGTGAATGAATAAATACCAGCTGACCTTTGATGAGGTACGGGTCGAGCATCTGAGCCTGTTCAAACTTGAGGATGGCGTTCTTGGTGTCTCCGGCTCTGAAGTAAACGTCGGCCAGACTCACCAGCAGGTCCACGTTGTCCCGCAGCAGAGACTTCTTCTCCAGAGAGCTGAGGCACGGCAGAGAAACAAGGATGTTCAGTCATATTCAGTCACTTTTAGCTATCACTAAACGGGGTAAGGAAGCACCACCAACGAAAAACCAATGGGTAACAATTGTGGAAGAAATATTTTTGATGGAAAAACTGACTTATAAATTGAGATTTCAAGAAACACAACTCAACAGAAAGTGGGAAGAATCTATACGAGACTCAAAACAAAGATATTTGACTGGAACAATAGATACATGCATCTTCAAGAATATAATAACATGAAGACATATCCAGTGTGAGAAAAAGTTTTTAGAGAGTACTTGTCCATGGACAAGTGAGTTTGGCAATTTACTTGTCCGAATACATTTTTCACTTGTCCAGAATGGAAAAATTGGGGCCACTGGAATCTTCTTCTTCTCCAACGTATTTTACATTTTCCCACGTTTTTTACGACACCGCTGATTTTACTGCATCACACGTAGGGTTGGGTATAGTTTGGATTTTAACGATTCCGGTTCTGCTTTTCGATTCCGGTTATTTTCGGTTCTCGATTCCGGTTCTTTGAGAGGGTAAAAATAAGTCCCATGACAAACTGGGAGAAAAACATATTTATGAAAACATTAAGTCAAATCTGTATTCCTATTTAGAAATCACTTCAGACTGTTTAATTTCTTACGGTTATTGAATAAAATTATATAAAAATAATCTCTGCATTGTTTAGTTAGTTCTATGTGGTGCAGTTTGAGAATGTACAATTGGCCCAGTCTCCTCTGATGTTACACTGCAACCTGCCTGTGAGACAGAGTCCAACAGGGGCGGACTGGCCATCGGGACGAATCCCGATGGGCCGGTACAGAAGTGGGCCGGTCGGACGATGTGGGCCGGTCGGATAACTCACTAGCACCCCCCCCCCCCCGTTGATAATTTACTTGCGGTACCGAAGTGGGCCGGTCGCTGATTTGTAGTCCCAGTCCGCCCCTGGAGTCCAACCACACATGTCCAACACAGAGGCCTAATAATAATAATAATACATTATATTTATAGCCTATAGGCCTAGCGCTTTTCTACAACTCAAAGACGCTTGCATGCTTACACATGTCCTGCAATACACATGCTGCAACTGCTCACTGTTTGTAAAAGTAAATAAATACTATTTTAATTTCAATAATGTATTTTCTATACCCTGCTTCATAAACAATACTGACATCCCTGTGCTCCTCCGAGTCTGGGGGTCGGGGGATGTGAGGACAGCGCGAGGACACAGACAGGGAGGCTGCTTTACTTCATAAAGGAAATGGCGTCAATATTAACAACATGGGAGCTAAAACGCGTAATAACCTTCATTAGGTGTTAGAGAAAGAACATAAGAAAGTTTGACAAAGATTAGGCTGTTAAACGGGCAGCGGGTCCGCTGTGTGTAGAAAGAGAGAGGGAGAGAGAGACGCTGAACTGCACCGTGCAGCGATGAGATGATCCGGAACAGAGAGAGAGAGCTGCGGTCCGCGGGGCTCGGCCTCCTGTCCTCACAACTCTTATTAATCCCGGTACCGGACAATTGTTATTTGTTCCTACTCGGCACCGAGTTTTGCTTCCCAACCCTGCCACTGTGCTACACGTCCCGCACCGCCCCGCCCCCGTCTAACAGTACAGAAAGCGGCGAGATGCATTTCCTTAGGAATCGACAAGCAGAACCGAAACTAACATTTCTAAACGAACAATAGCGGACACGGACAATTTGCGAATGAGTTCTGCCTTTTGTAAACTGAGTTTATCAATAATTTGTCAATAAATGAGGGCTAAAAACGTCACTTGTCCGCCGGACAAGTCAATTGAAAGATCTACTTGTCCGACATTGTAAATAACCCGTCCCGGACGGTGGGACGTGTGCTTTTTCGCACACTGATATCCCTAGCATTTTATTAGGGTCTGAGACCTAGGTCGGCGAAGACCCTATTGAAATCGGTCGCACAGCGACCGATAAACCTTTGACCCCCGCAACATATGTGAAAACTCACCAAATGTTGCACGCGCGTCAGATGTGGTGCAACTTCAGATGTGTAATTGGTTCCGGAACTTTGCGTCAAAAATTGCGTAGGCCACGCCCACTTCCGTTTTTAACGTAAACTCCCCCCACTTTAACTTTCACGTAAACGAACGTAACTCGCTACGCATATCTAGGGTGCGGAGACAAACCAAAAAGCCATTTTGAATTTGGCGTCGGAAAAACGCGATTTATCGCGTTTTTCGTCCTCCGCACGAAATCTATCTTCTCCCAGGGACTTTATCCATACGACTCGAAATTCGTCGGGTAGCGTCTCGAGACATGGGCAATTCAAAGTTATCACGGAAGTTTTTTTTCTTTCGCACGGCGTAGCCGTGATTTGGCGCCAAAGTTCGCGTTCGCTCGATGCTCGGCCATCCCTCGCCATGGAACACGATGATGTCATAACGCCAACTGACATACTCAGAACGCCACCAAACTTCAGATGATGGTTAAGACTGCGGCCCTGAACAGCTCTACGTCAAATTTGATGTTATTTAATATGGCGTTACCATGGCAACGAATCCCTCGCCATAAAACACGGTGTCGCTGTAACTCCAATGGACACGGTCCCATTGTCCCCCAATCTTCACTTTTATATCACCGGTCCATGCCTCAACAGCTCTACGTGAAATCTGAGATCTCACCGTATGCCGTTTCCATGGCAACGCATCCCTCGCCATAAAACACAATGTTGTCTTAAGTCAATGGAAAATGGTCCAAACTGCACCACACTTCAGATGATGGCTAATGGTCCGGCCCTCAACAGCTCTACGCCAATTATGGGATGTCATCATATGCCGTTTCCATGGCAACGCATCCCTCGCCATAAAACACGGTGTCGCTGTAACTCCAATGGACACGGTCCCATCGTCCCCCAATCTTCACTTTTATATCACCGGCACCAGACTTCAGATGATGGCTAATGGTCCGGCCCTGAACAGCTCTACGCCAATTATGGGATGTCATCATATGCCGTTGCCATGGTGACAGATCCCTCGCCATGAAACACAGTGTTGTCATAACTCGATGGAAAATGGTCCAATGCACCAGACTTCAGATGACAGTTAATGGTCCGGCCCTCAACACCTCAATATGACAATAGTGAGTTTTCCTCAAAAGCTGTTGCCATGGCAACGCATCCCTCGCCGTTAAGCACGATATTGCTATAACTCCTGTGTAAATGGTAAAAAAGTGTTCAAATTTCCCATGTGTGCTAACCGTCAAGCCCTCGACACATATATGTGTCAGTTTTGAGATTTCGTCAAATGTCGTTGCTATGGTAACAAAATGGTCGCCGTGAAACACGGTTTTCTCATAACTCCAGTTAACATGCTCCAAACGGCCCAAAACTTCACAGGTTTGATAACGATGCAGCCCTCAACACATCTAGGCGTATTATGGGGTGTCATCAAATTCCGTTGCCATGGCGACAGATCACTCGCCATCAAACACAATGTTTATGATACTGCTGTAACTCCCATGTACGTTGTCTGATCGGCCTGAAACTTCCCACGTTTGCCAACGGCCGAGTCCTTGAGACACCTAGACACACACGTCGACGTGCGGACAACAGCCTGCGGAGCGTCGAAGACCCGCTCATTCTATTTGTATTTTGTATTGCCTTGCTGGCCTTTTGTTACATGATTGCAAGCTGTAGCCACCCATTTAGCTATCGCTGTTGAAAGCTTGCTGCTCGTAGACACCGTGTCCAGGCGTCTCCCCAGCAAACTTTCAAGCGTGGTCTGCCGCAAACGAGCGGCAGGAGCGGGGCTGTCGGCATCAGCTGTGTGCTTGGCTTGCTGTTTAAAACACCTTTTCTTGTATCCATATCTCTCGCTAGAATCTCCCACCATCCAACTAACAACAACAACAACAACAACAACAACGTCAAGCCTTTGGGCTCTGAAACTACGGGGCGGGCCGAGGACAAATACACATGCGTTAATCGCACGTTAAAATAATTTGTGGCGTTACATTTTTTTTTGTTATTAACGCGTTAACTTGACAACCCTAATTATGATATAACCTACCTACCTATTGTTTTATTTATTTGGTAGGTCTTTATTTCTGTTGTTCCTATATGTTCACTTTGTTTTATGGGGTTTTATATTATTTTATATTGTTGCATCGACTCAGTCGTCTTGTGTCTTATCTGTCAGAGAGAAACCATTATTTATTTTATTTGTAGTATCATACCTTTCCCCTCCTTGTGTCTATTAACCTGATAACATGTTATATGTTGTTGCATGTACCTTTTAAAGTTCTTAACAAATAATCTGAGGAGAGTCCCTTGTTTATTTTTAACTTGTGTCATTTTGTAAAGCACTTTGAGCTGCATGAGTTGTATGAAAAGTGCTATTTATATATATAAAGCTTTATTATTATTATAATAATGTGATATGATTGATATGCTGTGCTCACCATATGGTGTTGATGGCTCTCTGGTTGTCTCCAGCGTGGATGAATGCGTACGCTTTGATCCAAACGGACAGCCACTCCAGGTTGGGGATGCTCTGAATCACATCCATCGTCATGGAGGCCACCTCGGCTCCTTTCACCGAGAGAGAGAGGAGCCCTGCAGGAGGAGAGAGAGAAAGGTCTTTAATGAGGCTCTAACAAGTACATTAGTGCAAGGCCTAGAAACCTTTCTTTAAAAAAAGCCTTTGATTAAACTTGTGTTTCTTTCCATTACGCCTCCTGTAGTACTTTGGGATTAGCAATGAAAGGTGCTTTACAAATACATTTTATTATTACATTAGAGCAAGGGATTCACTGTCCAAGCAGATGGTGAACGTGTGTGTGCACGTATAAGAAAAGCTTTCAAATGTGAAGAGCGAAGGTGGCCACAGTAGCTATTTGTCTAACGGTACGATAACTATACAAAATATCACGGTTTCATGGTGTTACACAATTATCCTTAATATCAGATACAATGGCCGGTAAAGGACACACACACACACACACAGAGAGAGAGAGAGTTCATACCGATGATGGCGTCCAGCGCGAGGGGGCACTGTCTGAGCACCTCTTTGTAGCTCGTCACCGCAGAACGCTCCTGACCTGCTTTCCTGTACAGGTTAGCTAGCATCATGTTGATCTGAGGGAAGAAAGAACAATAACATCCATTAAACACAAGTCTATAGATAAGCGAAACGTCTCTGCAGACCTAATGCAAAATGATAAGTAGTAGAAGTTTCCCATTGTGATCATGACAGTATTTCAGATCAGTTCATAAAATGAAACATGGAGAGTTTTGCCCCTAAAAACAGTATTTTTGAAGTAAAACCATCTGCAGAGTCTTTTTACTTTTACAGTTAAACTCCAGCTGTGTATTTACTTGTGAGATAAGTTAAGATGTACTTTATTGATCCTAAATTGGGATTTTTTTTTTTTTCCCGTTGCAGCAGCATTAAAAAACAGGGCATTGCACATAATTAGAAATTAAAAGAGTAGAAATAAACAATTCTAAAATAGAAGCATCTCAAAATAGAAATAATATAAAAAATGTATAAACTATCTGGCAAATAAAACACTATTTAAGGGCTAATTTTCCATAACAGTAACACAATATAAAGCCGGATATTATATTTACATTAAGTGTGCGAGGGATGGCATATTAAAATAAATATAAATGTACAGTGTGAATTGGACATTCAAATAGGGCTGTCACAATATCAGATTTCCACCTCCCAATTATAGTGGCCAAGAAGAAATCCTGATAACGATACTATCTCAATAATACTAATAACAATTCAATTCTAAAATATAAAATGTAAAAATATTGCTATGAGTTAGATAAATCTTAAAGTCTGATATTATTAAGAGTTTTGTATCTTCTATGCAGGGAGGAGGAATGAGTCTGTGACCATAACCGTACAAAAGCGTAACAAAAACAAACGAGCGGATTATTAACACAATATAATCATTTGAGTTACAAGATATGGTGGCTGTATTATAAAAGAATGCACAGGAAGCATGAAAACATTTTTGCTTTCTGTATTTTGTATATTTTTGCTGTTGTCTAATTTTTCTTTTTCTTATGTATTTTAAGAAAAATGTTGTGCTTTTGGTTGTACATGTTGTGTATTAATCTCAATAAAAAAAGAAAGCGTGAAAAATATCGGTTTATCACAATAACTATAGGAGGGTAACCTACCTTTGGGGTCCTCTGTCTGGATGGGATCCCATCGAGAACTGCAATAGCATCTTTATCCAGTTTCAATATTGTGTAGCACTCGGCGATCTTATACTTTACTTCAATCTCTGAGGGCAAACTCTGAAAGAAAACATGAGTCATTTTAATAATCATTCATGCAAACTGAACTAGTCGATGGTATGGGTATTTGTCTTTCAAGGTACAAAACATTGAGTGATAGGAATATACATGCAATTGATGTGTAGGAATTCTGGTTAAAAACACATTGAATTATGTTATGGCTTCATTCAAAACATTGAACAATGAACAGTGTTATCCGACATACCTGTGCCTGTAAATTAGAAGCAGCTCCACCAGTAGAAGTACGAACTTTAGATGTTTTGCTGATCACCTTCTTCTGCTGTAAAGCCATACTGTATTTGCAGGCAGCATTACGATACTCCTTATCATGGAAGATGCTGTCAGCGTGGTAAACCAACAACTGGTACTTCTGGGCCGGTGAGAGCAGCTCTCTTTGATAAAAAGACACAAATGGTAAAGTCATTAGAATCAGAAACACTTTTTTTTTTTTTTGCATGGGTGAAGTGGGTTATGTTATATGCTCCATCTTAGAGTCAAATATATAGAAAACAGAGAAGTTATAAGACGATTTAATTAATGTCATCGATTAAAAGCAAAAAATAAATGGGTGCATTTACTACTATGAAACAGCAACACAAACAATAAATATGGAAAAAATGAATGTGTAATACTGTGTATACTTCAAGATATAATAATAGTGTAAATAATTGAAAAATTGATCTATGATTTTGCGTTTAAAAAGCAAGATAAGTATCACAATATTTCTTAAAATGCAAAAACAATATAGAGTTGGAATGCAAGAGTGAATCAGAGAATTAACATTAAAACATGTCTCAATGTGTTAGTAGAAATGCTTAGAGAAAAAGACTGTCATTGAGTGACATAAATATAGAAGAGACCGTAACAAAAAGTGGACAGTGAGATTATACATTAGTCTAAAGCACAGGAGTGTAGAAAGTAAACAAACAATTGTGTTAGTTTGTGTTTTTATAGAAGCATCCTTCATCAGCTGTTGGGCTTCATCACAACAAAAACATGGCTCTGTGACTTTGATAGCCCCTGATTTTAAATCAACCCCACTGCATTGTCAACATGTGAAAGGGGGAAAGGCTATTGAACAACAATATATATGTGAAAAGTCATACAATACTCGTTAAACATCTGACTGTCAACTCCTTCCAGCTAACTGTTAATAGCACGTACCTTCATATGACTACTTCCTGGATAAACAAACGTACACTATATTACACCCAATAATACACATTTCACTGTTAAAGATGTGGTTACTTGAGAAGCATTTCTAGCAGGCGTCAGAGTGCATTATTCAAAACCCTGATCTGATCAACTACTAAACAAATAAATGATATAAATAGTTGATCAGTTAGCTTTTCGCTATCACTGTCTCCAGGAAATAGACGGATCCTCACGCTGGCTTTTACTTACGGGTTGTTATTACTCATCGTCAACAGCAAACTGCTCAATATCCGGACGTTAGAGTGAAGGCCAGCGGCGGCCATTTCCCGGATATTATCTATAACATTCATCTTTAATTTAGTTTAAGGCTTGCTTTGTGTTTCCGTCTCTCAGGTGAAAGTTTGTAAACAGCTAATGCTAACAGCTAGCGTCTGTTGTATCAAATATGGCGCCGTGACAACGTTCCTTCCGCATAATGCTGCCTTTAAGTGCTCTTTGCAAGCTTGTGATTTCAACCACTATAGTATTAAATGTGATAAACCTCATGACATATGCATCTTTGGTAAACACATTACGTTTTAAATGACCTTGTTTTAAATTTAGAGAGAAAAAGCGACAAATGTATGCAACTTTTTTATTCGCGTCCTAAATCTATAAAGTTAGGACTCTTGTGTTTTTATATGCCGTCATGTATCCGAAAGTCTTGAACGCCTCTTGTGAATACTCTGCAGCAATAAAAACGTCTTTTTAACTTGTTTTGTATTTATAAAAGCGTCAGCTAAATGTAATGATGTAGTTAATGACTATATCATTAGTTGTTGTTTACCCTTTCTGAGTTTATGAATATTATTTATGAATATAGAAATTCCCTCCTAGCAACACTCTCCATAGGAAATGAAATAAATATCCTTTGGCCAATTCATAATGTAAAAAAAAATGCACTGCAGTCGCTTTTCTTGATTATATTTGTATTTTATCATTTTAATAATTTTTTTATTTAATTGTAATATTTTGACTTATGTTATTTTAGTATTTAAGTATAATTTTATTTTTTTATTATACTATTTTAATTATTTTTTAGTAATACTTTTATTCTGCATGTAATGTATAATGTGTGTGGTTATGTTAATGTCAGTAGGGGTCTTGTTAACAAGGTTTTGTAGAAGAAAAACTGCACATTTCCCCTCTTTGGGATTAATAAAGGAATTGTGATTCTGCTTCTTCTATCTCTGTTTAAAACACATCATCACTGATCTCTAGCTGTGTCCCAGTTCAATACAAACTAGTTCAAATCTGAATAAGTGGTTGAATGCTTGTCCTTTTTTCAGTTTCAGACGGTTTTCTGAACAAATCTAGCAATTTTTGAACATCAGCGCTCTGGGTAATTGAGATTCTTAACTTTTTTCATTTAACAATTCAGAAAAAGATTATTAACTGATATCTATCATATTTCGTAAGTTGGGTTGTTCATTTAGCTAAGTAATTTTTCTAAATGGAAAACACTTTTTTTCTTTCGATTAGTGGTTTTGTATGACTTGATTATAAAAATGCAGTAGTATACTATTTCCATTTTATTTGCAATTTAAAATTTCATACAAGATAAAAGTAGATAATTCAATCTGCCTGAACATTGTTTGTATATGACCCAAATAAAGGCATTAAAATCCATCCTTGATATATGATGCACCGACATGACAATATCTTAACAGATTACAAAATGAAAATGGGTGTTTTTAAAAGGGCATGAACACAAACTGTGAAGATTTGACACAAAATAAAAAGGAATTTCTAAACAGGAGCTACAACGAACAGGTTTGTAATCTACACATGGAAATGCTTTTTAACTGTAGAAAGAAGAAATACCGTAAAAGATACCTTCTGAAATACATACTGACTTGGAAAATGCCATCTATGATACGTCAACAAACTATAGCCCAATTGATATTTCCGTGATAATAACCGTGGATAAAGGGGACTTTCACTTATCTAGAGAAATTGTAAACTTGATCGACACTGATCAAACCTTCTTAACAGCAGCAGTTCCCACAATGACCATTGTCCACCTTTAGGTTCTAATTTGTGAGCCAAAGAGCTACCAGCATAAAATCATTCATCACAACATTGTTTCAAATATTCGTGTTTGTGCTGAATGATCTAAAGCTCAGCAGACAGAGGAGTAACGCTAATCTATTTTGAGATTTTATTTCAGTTTAAACAAGAGTTTTATGAGGAATCAAAGGGGAAATCATAATAAAGTTTAAAGAATTATTAATACATTGGACAACAGAAAAAGAAGAAAATCAATCTACCATACCAACTCTCTAAAAACCAATGAAATGGGTGGCCACCCAAAACACTTGCATGCAAACACACCTCACATATCAGCAGTATCTGGACACGTTTTACCAGTTGTCCTGTTTGTCTGGGATATTCTGTAGGACACACAGAGAGAGACAGCATTTCCATGTTTAAACGTGCTCCCTGATAAGAAGAGACATCTGGGTCAGTATCAAGGTATAAATCAGAGAGACGCTGAGGGGAGGGGGGGACTAGGACTAGGTATGAGTCTAGGTGGGCACAGTGATGCTGCGGGCTAGTAGTGCCAGCAGAGCGAGCTCCACGACCCCCTGGGCTTGTTCCAGCGCCTCTGCGGCCTCCCGGGCAGAAAACCCTGCTGCCTGGATCCTCTGGATGTGTTCAGATGGAAATTGTTCTCAAAGGATGTGGAGAAGGGACAGGAGGGGCCGGAGATGTCAGCTGGGGGGCAAGAGGAGGGGAGGAGAGGGTTGAGGTGCTTGAGACTTCCTCAGGTGAGCCCACTGCCATGGACAGAGGGCTGAGGAAAGTGTGCTCAGTCTGGAGGCCGAGAGAGTCTGGGGTGTTGGTGCCAGAGGCCCGTCCGTCTGCGACCCCCCTCCCCTGCTGGCCCTCCGGGGGCTCCCTGACCTCCAGGTCCCCTGTGGGGTCAGGAGGATCCTTTGGCTCAGTCTGAAAACTGCTGATGTTATTCACTTCAGCTCGCCCACAATTATCTGTCCTCCTCTCTGGACGCTGCAGGGGTTTTTGTCCCACCGCAGTCTCCAATGTGTCCCCATCCAGACGCTCCTCCTGTTCAGAGAGGACAGGCGCGAGACCCTTATGGCGCAGTTCCACTACAGCGCGGAGCTCGCTTTAAGTGTGCCGTGTCGTGCCGTGCCCGTTTTTGGTTGCGCTTCCACTAGGCCTAGTTCCGGCCCGGCCCGGCCCGGGGCCACTTTTTCACGTCTTTTCTGGCCCGAGAAAATTGTGGTTCTATCGAGGCCAACAAACAGGGCTGAGTCGGGCTGAGTATGCTAAACTAGAGAGAGGAGCGCTGGCAAGGGGCTACAACTACAACAAGATGGACATATTTGACCGTGATTTAATTGTAATACACGTCTCAAAATGATGCCGAAGTAACAATATACTGATACCGGTTAGTAAAAACCATGAATTAATGCTTTGTCAAGTCTGCAGACAGACGGCAGGCGAAAAACCTTTTAAAATGCGTGTTTTTCTAGATGGAGATTGGCTAAGCTAACGCAGTATATGCTCCGACCGTCCACACTCACAACAACGGCCTATACAGACATAAATAAAGCAGCGACTGTATTCACCATGACACAGGCAGTCTGTGGTGTGTACTTGTTTAACTTTTGTCGAGTTTCTGAATATATATAAGGAGCTGTGAGCTCTGAGTGCTAACAGCTAACGGCTGTGTTGTGTTTCTGGAGGTCTCATTGAAGATGACGTCACGGCTCCGCCTACACTGCGTTACTATAGTAACTACCCCAGTTCCTAAACTGTAATGGAAGCGCAGCATGAAGTGAGTCGGCCCTGTTAAGGCCAAGCCGTACCGAGCCGTACCGAGCGTGGCCGAGGCCGACCGTGTAGTGGAAATGCGCCATTAGAGGGTCCCTCATCAGACACAGCAGCAGCAGCATGGTGGGCTTTGGCATCGCTTGGTTCTGCACCGGCTGGGATGGCAGTAGAGGGGATCCGGGGGGGGTCTTCGGGGGTCGGGGGGGCGTGGCTCGGGGTGGTCTGTTTCCTAGGTGAATGGATGTGAGGGGGAGCAGGAGGTGCTGCGGTTCTGGGACTGAGCGTAACATTTATTAATTATCCTTTAAGGTCTGCAAAAACTTTATGAGGTTAACCTTAAGCATACTCAAAAGCAGTGCCTGCTTTGTTTAAGGCACGACTCTTTATTTTGTCCCAAAACACATGTTAGTGGCAGATAAAGCCCAAAGACACACTATTTACGCCACTGCTCTCCGGCAAGAGTGGAGTGGGGAAGACTGCTCTGGCTGCACGTCCCAACATGCACTATGAAACCACAGGTAGACCCAGATCAATGCGAGTCAGTTGTTTTTTAAGAATAATTTACACATGTAAAGGGTTGATCAGGTGAGACCACACATTTTATTTGATTTTATTTATGTTTTGTTCAAGGTATTGAGACAACGGTGGTGTACTGGCCGGTAAAACTAAGAGAAAATGGCAGAGTGCTTTTCTTCCGTCTGCAGCGGTGGGACTGTGGGGAGAATGCCTTGCGTAGATTCGACCATCTGCTGCCGGTGTGTTGGTGATATAGTGTGTTTGCACACTACGCTCACATTATTCTATAATAGACTAAACAAACATTCCTGATGTCTTCTGTCAGACTTTATGTTAAATCACACTTTCCTGTCTCCAGGCCTGTAAGGAGCAGGTGGACACCGTCCTCTTCCTGTTCTCCTTCACTGACAGGACCTCCTTTGATGATCTGTCAAACCATATCGCTAAATGGACCGGGGCTCCTGTGGGTCGGTTTGTGAAATTGGTGGTTGGCACCAAGTATCCTCTAACATTCTTTAAAAAAATATGAATGTTATGAAAGTTAATCTGAATACTTACTCTATAAGTGCTATATCTATTCAGAGCTTGGCCTTAATGTCTTCTTCAAATTTGACCTTTTCATGCACTGTGACGTGGCAGAGAGAGACTTCCAGGAGACGTGGAGCGTACCAGTGCTGCGTGTGGACCTATCATGCTATATTTGAATAATATATTGTAGGGCCATACCTATATAAGGTATATTTATAAGTTTTCTTTTTCAAAATACCAAACAGATCATGCATTTTAGCCATGCCTCATTTCGCTCTATTTTGCTTTCCTCCACCCGGTCTTTGCATGCGCTGCAGCTGACCACGCCCCCCTGCAAAGGAGGGGGCCGAGTTACGAGCGTTGTGTTACCATGCTGTTACCATGCCACGGCAACCTCTCATTCCCCTGATAGGTCAGCTCCGCCGTCCTGACGTCAGAGGAATGTTCAAATCTGGATCAGTTTTTATCAGATCCGTTGCAGCCCCGTTTTTAGTGATTTGGGTATGGAGGAAAATAGAGAGGGTTGTGTTTTCTGACACTTGGTGAGTTCCCTGGAACACCGGGGACACATATTCATGTATACAAGACGTACAAAAGTGCATTTTGCATGATAGGTCCCCTTTAAGTATTACAGCTCGTTTCTTTGCTTTGTTACCGATGATATTACAGATTTCCTTTATACATGTACTTAAAACACCTACGCCACATGTGTCAAACTCAAGGCCCGGGGGCCAAATCAGGCCCGTGGTGGATTTAATTTCGGCCCGCAGGATAATTTCTAATTACTATTAGATCTGGCCCGCCGGTATAATGCACGCACACCTTCACTCAATCCTGAGGGTTTCCTCAGCTCAGAGCCTGACCCCAAACATTGATGAACTTGCACCCAAGATGAGATGCCAAGTATCTGGCTTGAACGAGCATCACAGAGCAGCACACTGAGTTTAATGGATGTTTCCTTCTGCACTTTCTTTCTCACGACAACAGGGCATGTTTGTTTTTTTCTTTGAGGGAAATAGTTTTTTTGAAGCTGTTGTTGGCCTGTGGAAAAATGTAATCATAAGAAATGACTCTGGGAAAGCTGCAGATAGAGCCATACGAAATGAATGCAACTGATTATTTAATGTTGTTTTTATAGGCAATAATTTAAGCTTTGTTAGTTCCAGGTTTAATATGTGCAATAAGTTCATTTCAATAAGTTTCGCAATAAACATTGAACCAGCCCGGCCCTCGACTAGTACCCGTTTTTTTTATTTTAGCCCACTGTGTATTTGAGTTTGACACCCCTGACCTACACGGAGTCAAAATAATGTCTGCTTGGTATTGGGTTAAATGTTTTATCAATATTTCACAGTGAAAAGATCAGTGGCCATTTTTTCCTCAGACTCTATTCATACCTTCTTTATTCATTTGAAGTGTTTTAGTCAGAATAGGGCTAAACTTGTTTATAATGAAGTGAAAGACAAATTGATTAAAAGTTTCCAGCATTTTAATACAAGTGAATAAATACATTCTCAAGAAGTAATACAAAAAGTTTAAATGTGCAATTTAAAAACAACCACAAATCGAAGTTTAAAATGAGTTCGCAGAGTCATGAATCATCTACCGTTTACACTGCAGCAACTTCATCCACACCTCTGTATCCGACCTGCAATAAAATCATAAAAAGCCAATAATAAATTAATCAACTACAGGATATTTATTAGTATTAAAAGACATATACAAAATGTCCACGTGTACCTTGTTTCTCCAGCAAGTTTCATGGTGGTGGGTTGTCCGGTGTGACTTTTAGAGAGATGCAACAGGAAGGAGTCTGGGGGCGGACCCAGGAGCTCAGTCTGAACATGCTTCACTTTCACATGTCTGGGGAATTCAGCATGATCCATAACTGTGAACCCCGCGTGTTGGAACCAATACTTCTTTGATGAGATGACCAAAAGGTCATTAAAGAGGTGGAGGTATACACTTGAGAAGCAACTGTGTCTCATGGGACCCTGGTGCAGCAGAACACGCCCGCTTACAACCAGAGGGACAGACTGCAACGAGGAAGAGACATTCAGTCAGATTTTATAAAAGACTTGATCCTGTTTTTTGTAACCTGTGTTAAGAAACTCGCCACCTTCATTTTGCCAAAATCCAGCAGCCTGTCCAGATAAACCAGCTCCTCAATGTGTTCCATTTTTCGGACCCCCTTATCACACTCTGTTACAATCTGTGGGTCAGAGAAGAATGCATAACATTTCACATTTCTTTTAGTCTATTTGCTAATCACATGCCTTCGATTGCTCACAGACCCTGTAAAACTCTTACCTTGTGGATGGCTGCTATTGCTTTTTCGAGATTGGATTTAGAGTCGGCGTCTGGTTTGGTCTGTTTCAGGATGCTCTGAAATGAAAGACAACCCAACACAAACCTTAGAAGAGGTCTGAAACACATTGTGCTGGTTAAATATATATGTATATGCTTGCAAACAATTAAAATATCATGAGACGCTAACCTGAAGGAGGAGTTTAATACGTGTAATTCTTTGGAAAGGAAGTACAAGGAATGACCTCAGGTTCTGTCTTTGACAGTCTGTGTGACTCTCAATGTTCTCGATTAAATGCAGAACATCTCTGTTCTGCTGCCTTGGAAATGGAAGAGATTGAATATAAAGTTATTGGTGTTGTGGAGCGCCAGCAGTAATGTAATGTACAGAGACTTACAGCAGCTGGTTGACCATCGTCTCCTGGTACCTCATGTTGATCACATACGGCACATAGACCCTGTGAAACTCAGGGCAGTGCTGCAGCACAATGTCTTCCACCTGAGAAATCAACACACTCTCCTCCAGTTGGCCTTCCAGATCCATTAGGAACCTAAGTGACAAAAACTCAAATTTAGCAGACGTAAACACTTAAAAAATAAATAAGATTTAGTGATATGTGGAGTTCTCACTTTTTACTGGCTGCCATTATTTGACAAATGTTGGAAAACAAATGGTGATGCTCCATTGGAGTCAGGGACTGTTTTAGTTCCTTCGAAGCATAGAAGTGTTTGACAGCAACAGTAAGGCTGTTTAGGGAAGACACTTCAGAGCCGATCAACTCAAACATCAACTTCAGAGGGAGAAAAAGAGAAGAATTCATTATGTATACATTTCTGTGACAATTAATTTCTCTGCAAAAGTAGGAGGATATTTTGGTTTCTTATTGTCAGCAAAACTAATAAACCTCACTAATACATTTTCATAGTTTCACAGCCTAAAATAATTCCCTGGAAAATAGTATATTTAATCCCGTTTTGGGAACATTTCCAATAAACTAAAGTGTCCAGCTTTTAATGAAGTTACTGAGCCTTTAACAATAATCTGTGAGCTGCTTCTGAGGAGGATTGGATACAGAATTTTCCACTCACCTCCTGAAGTTTGATCTCTTCTTCTGGCAACCTTGTGAGCAGGCCAGACGCCTTCACCTCCTCTAGATCTCGCCAAAGGGTCGAACGCCTGACTAGGGGAGCCTCAGCCAAGCATATATTCCCAGCATTGGATAGTTGTTGAAAGCTTGTATAATTAACGCTGCTGCAGTAGGCAATAATAGGAGTGTCTAGCTCCTGGGGGATTGTCAGTGCGCTCAAAAAACCTGTGTTCCGTTTGTTCAAATCATCGCTCTCCGCCTCACAGTATGCCTGGTAGTCCTGGTACAGAGGGTCTTCAGAGCAAACAAGGAAATGAAGGAAAGACACATGACATGGCTGTAAGTTACACTATTTAACCACTCAATAGCGCAGAGAAAGATACACTTACATAAATTGAAGTACTTTGACTGGAAGGACACACACAGCTCTTCCTCCTCAGCTGTATCTGCTGCCCTGCGTTTAATAAGCAGTTCACAGTTAGTTAAAAGTAAACGTTTAAAATGTTATTAATACAGACAATTCTGGATTGTCCTCCTCTAGCTAGTTTGCTGAGTAAAAGGATTGGGCTACTAGGTTTCAAATCCAAAGTTAAAGATACGTCTATGGGAGGGATCTAAAAGGACAAATATATGTCATCGTCACAATCCTACAAATAAAATTAACTTAGTTTTCGAAGTGCACCATGCGGTCCTTACCTTGAATCCTGAAGGTCTTCCAGGGAGTCACTGCTCCCATCATGGCCTCCAATGTTTTCATTTGTGCAGTCACATTGATCCATAGCGCCTCAGTCTCTCACACAGACTCTTTATTTTAAAACTCTGACAAAGGTGCAAATGTGGATGTGTTTGTCTACTGGGGGATCCTTTATTTGACCCAGGGACACTCAGATTGAGTGAGCGCAGGCTGATGCAGTCTGAACTGAGCAGCAATCACAATAACTGGAACCAGGTGTGTGTTTCTTTTCAAGCCTCTGGTGATCAACAGTGAATTGCCGCCGCGCATGCGCAGAGCTACATCCAGCAGCTGAGCCTTGTGTCAAAACACAGAGAAACCAGCAGCGCTAAATCCACAGCTTTACCTCTATTATTTGGAAAGTATTTGTCAACACAAAGTCATTTCCATCTAAGTCAGCGTACCATGACCGAACAATCAGCATTACTTCTCCGAAAACAACTGGCAGGTAGGTGAATATGAGTTAAATATTGTAAGGGAATACAGCCGTTATAAAGGCTAACCATCTAGCAGCTAACGTTAGCTTCTGTTTTTAGCTGTGTTTACGCCATAGGAGTTAGCTCAGGAAGCTAATATAACGGGTCTCTTTATCACCGCAGATCAAGACGTGGCTAGGCTGCTTTTATTAGCTAACATTATAAGACAGATTCACTAATTAATGTGGCTTAATTAAACACATATCTGAAAAGATGCCGGCCATGCTAGCTGGTTAGCAAGTTGGACATTAGTTAGCGGACGGAACAAAGGAATAATCAATCCGAAGACTCATCTGCTCTGATGACGTCAGATCTGCTAATGATGGATGTTTATATTCTGAGATGTACATAAAACTATAAGCTACTGTATTAGTAGAGGTGGAGAAGTACTCAGACCTGGTACTTGAGTAGAAGTACCAGAGTGTAGGAATACTCTGTTACAAGTACAAGTCCTGCAATCAAGTACACAACTATTATCATCAACATATAGTACCGACAGTAAAAGTACTCATTGTGCAGATTGGTCCATTTCAGAATAATATATATGATATGTTTTATAATGATTGATCATGAAAGTGTTCTCAAAGCTGGTAAAGGTGCAGCTAGTTTGAATGACTTTGTATACTGCAGGGTAGCTTGTGAATTTACTCCAGGTGGAACTAAAGTCTGATTTAACACTTGATTATATTTCACATCATTCATCCAGATCTGTGAAGTAACTAAAGGTATTAAATACATGTAGTGGAGTAAAAGTACGAAGTAGCATACAATGGAAATACTCAAGTAAAGTACAAGTATCTCAAGTAAATGTACTTTACACCACTGTTATTAGTAATGGTTGAAGTGGAGCGTTCTCCGATCCTTTCCTAAAGTAAAATACACATGTTTATGCTCTAAAAATACTCTGCTACAAGTAAACGTCCTGAAAAAGCAAGATGTTACATGAGTAAAAGTAGAGAAGCATTGGCATCAAAATATACTTGTAGTACAAAAAGTAAAAGTACTTATTCTGCACAAAAGCACATTTCAGAAATATATAAAGTTCAGAAGAAGTATTATTCATTCAAGTTCATTTTCATCCCAAAATCCTGTTTTTAGAATCTCAAATATAGAGATTTCATGCTTTTATCTTTCTTTTAATAACAAAACAATACATGATGAATCTGGAACATAATCAGCAGATTTATAATGTATAATAAGTGTAATCTGTAGTTGAGCTGCATTCCTAATTATCAGCATCCCAGACGTTGTATCAAGACATATTATTATATTATTATTTCCATTTATACACTAGACAAAGTGACCTACAGATTAAGTTCAGTGTTTCCCCTAGGTTTACTGCTTTGGGGGGTGCTGCCTGAGCGGGTGGGGGGGGGGGGGTTGCATTGGGATATATATATATATATATATATATATATATATATATATATATATATATTTGTAAATCCTCTGGAGCAGAGAGGAGCTGTGGATTATTGTTATTGTTTAGTGCATTAGTGTTTCTTAGGGTCAAAAACACTAAACTCACAACTTCTAATGAAAGCGTTTAGTTTATTTAATAAAAGAGCACATGTTCAATGTGAAAAGTGACAGTAGATAGAGATTAGTTGCAATTTGGTGCTATATATATATATATATATATATATATATATATATATATATATATATATATATATATATATATATATATATATATATATATATATATATATATATATATATATATATATATATATATATATATATATATATATATATATATATATATATAAAAAAAAGAATATGAAAAAATTATAATCTTTTCTTTTTTTAGACACCTTGAATTTCAGGGGGGGGGGCGCAGCGCCCCTCCAAGACAATGGTAGGGGAAACACTGAAGTTACACTCACAGCAGGAGTCCAGTTTAAATGTGTGACTCTGAATGACGACAGCCACCCGTCACTTCAGAAGAAAGACAGAACATCTTCCTTTTCTCTGACGGAGTTATTTTGGGTTCTGTGTGGGTTTGTGAATCACTTTACAGTTTGACTCAATTCAGTTTTTCAAGTTGATGATTCACTTCAGCGCTGTTGATTATGATTGGAAACCACGATTTGATTCAGTCAGCCTTAGTCAAACTTTATTGAACTTTCAATAATGTGAGACAGCGTTTCCGCCAGGGGGGCGTCTTGCCGTCATTTGACTCGAGTCGAGGGCGTCCAAAAAAATTAATAATTCGAGAGAAGATCGAGAGTTTTTATCGCTTGAAATTATGAAAAGGAAAAAGGACAAGGACATTCCTCTGTTGGAGGGGCGATGAGCGGGGGGGGGGTGTTGAACTAGTGGAGCACGCGCATGAACTGCGAGCGCCGGAGCCTCGCAGCGGCGAAACTGACCCCTAGATTCCATCGGGTCCGTCTGCGTCGCGTTACGTGCCGCAGTTTTGGTCCGGCCTCCTCCGGCGTCATACCCTACCAGGCGCGTTTCAGAAGCATTTCAGAAGCGGAGCGTCTTGCCTGCCGGCTCGCAGTTTTTGTTGATTTGGGCATATTTCCTGGACAGGATAATTGTAATATTCCAGTTATAAACGACATGAATCAAAGATGTGTTGCTGTATTTTAGTGGTAAAAAAATGCATTCATCATCATCATTATTCCATAAATATAATTTACACAGTGCCTGCATTTCTCCTCCTATTTGAAAGACTACGGAGGGATAGGGTCTGCAAAATTAGTTTATTTTGGGGATGGGCCGGATGCTCTGACCGGTCCACTTCCTGCCCGGCGCCTCTGCAACGCCTCGCGTCGCGTAGAAAAATAGACTTGAATCCCATTTTGAGCGGAGCCCAGCGCCGACACGCTTCTGGGACGCTTCTGAGCCGTAACGCGGTGCGACTGCTGGAATAGCACCCATTGACTAGAGTGGCCGCGATCTTTGCGAACGCCGCGGCGCGGCCGTAACGCGACGCAGGCGGACCCGGTGGAATCTAGGGGCTCCGTGGTAAACTGTGGTAACATGAAGAGCCGTTTGGGAGGCGAAACAGCCGGCGCTTTAACGGCCCCTACACACGGCCCCTACACACGGCGGCGTGCGTTGACGCTTGGCAGTGGGCGTGTCTTGAGCTTGGGGAGTTTACGCGACCAACAACCAATCACATGAATCTCTCCTGTCAATTGCATAAAAGGTTTTACATGTCACACTTTATATGATGAACATTTATGACATTAATGTCTATGGTGCTATTTTACGCAACATTCCATGCTGGCTAAATACTGTCTATGCCTGCTAGCTGTCCATTCAAACGAAGTACACTGGATATAAACTCCCCAAACAGGCGAAAACCTACCAGTTTCACCCACTGTCTCTGCCACCTCCCTCCATGCCTGGCTCCTCCGGTTTGTATCCCGGTAGGTGAACAGGGACCGATCATAAAGCACCGGGTGATTCCCTACCGCTACGATTATTTTCTCCTCCATTTTTTGGCATATGAGGAAATGAACTGCGGTCTGGCTCTCCCAGCATACACGCGGTTTGATTGGCTAGCGCTTGTACTGGCAGATTTGCATAAGCGGGATTTGATTGGCTGACGCCTCCGTCAAAGCTTCAAAAGTAGAACATTGCTCTACTTTTGCAGTTCGGCGAAGCGTGACGTCACCCCATTCAAAGTGAATGGACAGAAGCGTTGAAGAGTCAACGGACGCCGCCGTGTGTAGGGGCCGTGAGAGAACCGAGTCAAATGATCCGGCTCACTAACGTAAAGAGATAGTATCTATAAGGGACGGCTCAATTCAAAATTCAAAGCAGAAAGTCTACATGTTTGAGAGGCTGAAAAGGGCATTTTTTAATACTTTTTTGACACCAAAACTTTTAGCGTACTGGACTAAATCAATGCAGCTCCACTTTGTTAGAAACGTAAGGCTCTAACCAGGAGCCTATGTCTGGGACAAATCATGGAAACAAGGCCTCAGGAGGGCAAATCAACTCCATTGGACCTTTGCTTTTTCAAAATACTGAAAGACATACGACTCTTTCATTGTGGCCGTTTTTTGTCAATTCAAACTCAACATGTCCTGCAGCTGCTTCACAGTAGAACTTGTATGAAAAAACATGTGACCCACATTCAATGTCAGTGTTATTGTCGCAGATTTATCTTTTAAACGTTTATCTTTGAAACATTTTTACGTTTGCATAATGTCTCGCAGCAGCTGGGTTTTTACCTCTTGTGTTGTTGCTTTTCACACATTTTTAAAATCTATTAAAATCCTTAGTTGTTAGTGTTGGGGAATAATTTGCCCTGCATGTCCTCCTTCGCCCTCTGACACAGCTGACCAACCTTGAGCAGCCGTTATCTCCCATAAGGAGGGGCTGCCCTAGCATATTGTTGTTGTTAGCAGTTTATGACTGGGCAACTCTCGGTCAGAGATAGTCATTGTTGTGGGACACCTGGAACACATCCTTCTCGGGGTGTAGATGACCCCGAGCCATAAGCGACAACTAAAGTTGATTCAGTGTCCTCAGCTGTTTAGTCTATCTATTGAAGAATGTTGATTATTACACTCTGAACTAGTTAAAACCTGGAGCTACACGAGGGTTCTTCAGAATTGATTGTGGCATCTCAACCGTGTGGTCAACTCGTGGCCCGTGACATGTCTTGTGAATTCTCCGGCTGAAGCTCCAAATAAACCGTCAGTGTTTGCCATCAAAGCTCCAGCTCTCCATCGTGTCTCTCTGAGTCCTGACTCCAATTGCTTCAGAAGTTTCCCCCACAGTTAGAAATATTATTTATTGCTTGAAGGTGTTCTGTCGAGGTCTGGTTTCAAAGCATTGGTCTAATAACATTCACCAAATCCTGGATAACTTTTAAATAGTTTTTAACACCCATTTTAAACCTAATGGAATATAGTGTGTGCTTCTTTGTCAAATTAAACCAATCGCCTACATGATATATTTATTATCATTCTCCGTACAATTGCCTTTTATTTCTGTCTTTTGCAAGGGATTTGTCAAACTTCTACAAAATATATCCTTTAATATTTACCCATTAACCTGCTCATGCATGTTATAGACCTGTCCCTTTTGTTAAAGTTGCATTTTATCTCCAGTTGTTTAGTCCATCTATTGAAGAATGTGTCTTTTCTTTTCAGAGCTCAACAAGAACCCGGTGGAGGGCTTTTCAGCTGGTCTGATCGACGACGATGACATTTATAAATGGGAAGTCGTGATCATCGGTCCACAAGATACCCTTTTGTAAGAGAGAACATATTGTCAAACAAGATACAATGAACAGAGAGATATATAAATTACTATTTGAAGTCATCATTTGTCCTTTCTCTGATTTTTTTTATTGCAGTGAAGGAGGGTTTTTCAAAGCATACCTCACCTTTCCCTATGATTATCCTCTACGGCCTCCAAAGATGAAGTTCATCACTGAGATCTGGCACCCAAACGGTAAACATGCCATCACAAATGTAAATGTACTTAGTTACTTTACACTACTGTTATTAGTAATGGTTGAAGAAGTACAGATCCTTTACTAAAGTCAAATACACATTGTTATGGTCTTAAAATACTCTGCTACAAGTAAAAGTCCTGAGAGCACTTTAAAGTTAAAGTAGAGAAGTATTAGCATCAAAATATACTTAATAGTTTCATTTGCATCCCAAAATCCTGTTTTTAGAATCTCAAATATAAGAGATGTTATGCTTCTCTGTTTCTTTCAATAATTTAAAGTAGGGATGCTCCGATCGCCAATTTTGGGGCCGATCGCCGGAATCAGTATCGGCCGATCCGATCGAGTGGGCGGGGCCTATGGGGATCTTCCATTTTAAAGTGATGTTTAAAACTCAGTTAATGCTCATTCACTGGAGCTTCCACAAACCAACATCATTATTACATTCAAATTAAGTACATTATTCAACACGGGAGAAATTAGCGGAATCTCTCTCTCTCTCTCTCTCTCTCTATCTCTCTCTCTATCTCTCTCTCTCTCTCTAGCTCTCTCTCTCTCTCTATCTCTATCTCTATCTCTCTCTCTATCTCTCTCTCTCTCTCTCTCTCTCTCTCTCTCTCTCTCTCTCTCTCTCTCTCTCCTGACAGCCCGTCAGTATCTCATGCAGCTCACTGATCCAGTAATGAGCGACCCGACAGTGAAGAATAAATATATTTATAACTAGTTTAGCTTGTTCCAGAGGTAGATAAAATAGCTAAGTGTGTTAGGTCTAACTCTTAGTGTGTGTTCTGCTCCGCTCACCGGTCCGTCACAGCGGGCGGAGCTGCAGGATTTCTGCTTCACACACGTTGCATACCGCTATTTTATTGTCTTTTTCGGACACCTTAAAATACTGCCAGACCGGTGAAGGCATGTTGGCGAGCTTGTTTTGCCGCGCAGAGAGAAAAGTGTCATGTATTTTACGTCATGCGATCGGCTCTCGCAATCGGCATTTTTAGAAAGCACCGATCGATCGGCAGAGAGTGAGTATCGGCGGCCGATTGATCGGAGCATCCCTAATTGTAAGTGATTATCTTTAGGCTTTGGACTGACTCAACAATACACGATGAATCTAGAAAACAATCAGCAGATATATATATGATATAATGAATGTAATCTGCAGTTGAGTTGCACTTCTAACTATCAACATGAACATCTTATCTAGAAATATTATTATAGGATTATTTTCCTTTATAAACTGTAGACAACATTCCCTCCTTTTCCTCCCCAGTTGCAAAGAACGGGGATGTTTGCATCTCGATTCTTCACGAACCCGGCGAGGATAAGTTTGGTTACGAGAAGCCGGAGGAGCGCTGGTTACCGATCCATACCGTCGAGACAATCATGATCAGTGTGATCTCCATGCTGGCAGACCCCAACAGCGACTCGCCGGCCAACGTGGACGCAGCGGTGAGTTACACCTCCAATCACTCAAACCCCACCTGTTCAACACTACATTCAATCCCTGACCACCCCCCCCCCCCCCCGTCTTTTCTGTCAAAGCGTCTTTCAGTTTTTAGAAAAGCGCTATATACAGTAAGTGTCATGTATTATTATTATTATTATTATTATTATTATTATTATTCCCCTGCACATGACACTAGAAATCTAAATCTCAAAATCTATTATTTAATAACGTTTTTTCCTAAAAGCATTTATTGATGATGATGGAGTATCATTTTTTAACCACCAAGTCAGATTGGAGTTAAGCATTATTGTGCTTGTTCTGGAAATCCACATTTCAAACATTTTACTTTTCGTTTTTGTTTATATTGGAAAGTTTCTGAGTTTCTTTGATGAACAGGCAGCATTTATATATTTAAAAAAAAACTTGAACATGTTTTTATCACTGATAATTCAGAATACTAACACAAACACCTACTACAGTACGTAACGAGCATGAATAAACGTGACGTTGTCAGTTACACCCCTTATGCACATGACGATAGAAATTAGGGGTGCATTTGATTCATGTAATAATGAATAATAATTAAAAAATCCCAATTTGAGATCAATAAAGAACATCTTATCTTAATCAATATTCTTATCTTCAACAATTCTGAATCTACTCAAAATGTCTACAAATCTTTAGAAAAATATATGTTTTACTTTACTATAAAACAAGCGAGTGTTTTTTCAAGTCAGATTGGAGTCGAGCATTATTGTTCTTTGTTTTGAAAAATCACACAAAATACCAGTTTAACATGATAGTTTTATTTTATATTGGCAAGTCTCTGAAAACTAAAAAGGCTACTTACTTATGCCTTTAATTTGTATTTTATGAACAGGCAGGATTTCTATTTTTTGAAAAACTTTAACATGTTTTTGTCACTGATTGTTGAGAATATTAAAAAGCTTTAGCATGAATAAATGTTACCTTTTGTCTTAGCTTTGCCTTGTGTGTGTTTACATTATTTCAAGGTAATATAAGAAATGTTCAAAGAAATAAAGAAACGTTTAATTGAATTCAGTGTTTCCGCCAGGGGGGCGTCTTGCCGCCATTTGACGCCCTTATCCAGCTCGGAACGCCCTGAACTCGAGCCGAGGGCGCCCAAAAAAAAATTATAATTCGAGAGAAGATCGAGTTTTTATCGCTTGAAATGACGAAAAGGAAAAAGGACATCCCTCTGTTGGAGGGGCAAGGGAGTCTGGTGGGATTATTTTCGCCGCCAGCAAAGCATGTTCCTGTGACGGAAAGTGTACTGCCGGCGAGCCTTGACGGGGGGTGCTAGTGGAGCACGCGCGTGAACTGCGAGCGCCGGAGCCTCGCAGCAGCGAAACTGAGGCTCCGTGGTGAACTGTGGTAACACGAAGAGCCGTTTGGGAGCCGGATCATTTGGCTCTTCTTAGTGAGCCGAGCCAAATGATCCGGCTCACTAAAAAGAGCCGGAATTCCCATCACTAATACGTAAAGAGATAGTATCTATAAAGGGACGGCTCAATTCAAAATTCAAGTCACGTGACACAACGTGACGTCACACGGGGGTGGACGCCCTCTCAGCCCTGGTCTGGCGGAAACACTGATTGAATTAGTTGGAAAATTCAACATCCAGAAATTCAATCGGTAAATACAACTCAAATATAAAAACTCCATACTTTTCTACACACTCTACTCCGATGTAATTCCATAATTTAAAGAAGTATTTAATACAATATTGTTAAATTACGTCGGGAAACACAGTGGAAAACAGAGCGTTTTTTTGGCCTCAAAACGAAGGGGTCAGAAAAGATCACACCCCTCCTCGTAGAAACCTTGGTTGTTCCTGTTGTGTTGGATTTGTCTCTGAAACAATCCTATTGTGTTGTTTGTTCCCGCAGAAAGAGTGGAGGGAGGACCCTAACGGAGAATTCAAGAGGAAGGTGGCTCGCTGTGTAAGAAAAAGTCAAGAGATGGCTTTTGATTAGGAATCCATTTAAATTCCAGGGTAAGTTTAAGAGTTACACATCCGACAGTCTGACACCATCACCACATTCAAATCCCAACTAAAAAACAACCTGTTCAGATCAGCCTACTCCCTGTGGTGCTCACCGTCACCTGTGTGCCCTGAATCCCCTGACCCTATCGTCTCCTCCATGATCACCTGTTGTGTTTTTACCTGTCGCTTATCGTATTTACTCAATTGTACCTTGGACTTGGGTGTCGTGAAAGGCGCCCTTAAACAGCATTTTTTATTATTATTACAGTCTTGTAATAGTCTTGAAATACAGATGAATTATTTATAGACTTATTTGTTCATGCTCTGTTTGAATGAAAAAATATAAAAACTCATATTTTTCATTCAGTATAATTCAAACAAGACAAAAAACTTGTTTTATCTTACGCCAAAAGTTACAGGACAAAGATTAGATATTAATTTAATTCCCATTTTTTTTTTTAAGCAATAATAATAACAATGTTTTCTTTGTTTGTTTGCAGGTAAAGGGAATGCCTTCAGAGGGAAGATTCAGCAGGCTTTTGCACCCCTTGTTTTTGCCAGAGGAAGGAACCGGTTGGCTTCAAACACGTTTCTGTGAACGGTTTCATTTTCCGCCAGACGAGCCAATTTGAGAAACCCTACCAGCGAAATTCACCCGTTTCCTACCTGGAATTGTATATTTAATTTAATTTATTTTGAACAAATTAATGATGTAAGATATGTCACTACTGTAAATTAACTTGCTTTTTTATCTGCTGCTGAACAGTTTCTACTTTGTACCAGGTTTCTTATGCAATTCAGTGGTCAAGATTGTGTAAAAACTATAAAACCCCGTCACCAGATTAACGTCGCCCAACGAATCCGGGTCAATATTTCTGATTATTTTCCACACCGTCTTTGAATCACTGTTGCCTTTTGTGGGCTTCACTTCCTCACAGTCTTGTTATCTTTAAGAGAGACAGTTTAAGAGGGGTTTCACAGTTTAATTTCCTAAAAAACAGCCTCATGTGTGTTAGCGTTTTATTTATAAAACCTTGACTCTCAAACCAGCATGACCAGCTCCGTTATGTTTAATCTGCTAGATGTGAAATGAATGGCTTACTCAGTGATTTGAGGGTTATTGTTTTATAATATAAAGCCTCGCACACAAGCAACTTCTCAACCTCTCATACTCCTGATCCTTAAAGGAATTCTTCACCCACAAAATATCACACAATTTAAGTCAAATCATCCTTAAATACTCAAAGAAAATTGTGTTTTTTTATGCCTTCAAAGTGAATACAAAAATGAAAAAAACTGACACTTATACGGTATAATCCAAGTTTAATCAACTCGCTTATGCACACTACTCCACAAACGCATGACTTTTACCTTAAAATGCTCTATTTAAAACACTTTTGTGCAAGAAAATTGTAGTAAATGCTGCATTTTTTTTTTTGTAAATAGCAATGAATTAGTCTTCATACGCCTGGATAAATGAGTTTGATTATACTGCACAAGTTGTGTGAGTTTGTAAATGGATGATTTAATATATTTTTGCTTCCCATATTTAATTAAAAGTACCTCTTCAGAATTTTTCTCCATTTTCTGACGGATTTCAAACTAAAACAGGATGAATATTTGCTAAAGGAATGATTATTTAGTGGGTTAAGAACTCCTTTTACACCTATCCCTCATGGTCCATTAGGAAATCTATTCATTACCACTCGTTATAGTGAATCACAGACAACCAAATACAGTGGGGAAATAGCCAAAACTGCAAAGAAATCCACGTTAACTCAATTTAAAGGTGAATAAATCAGTTTTTGGTTTTTTTTAACACGGGGAATTTTCGGTGCTCCGTTTCTTATTTTGGTGTGGCATGTTAGGCTTTTATCAACATCTGGGTAAAGGAGGATACAAGTCACTTTCACTCGAGGGTTTATCGTTGGGTAATCCTCTTTAAATCAACATCTTGGACAATATTTATCACCATCACTGAATTGGGGTTTTTGAACGAGACCTGACGTTTTCTCGGCACTTCGTAAACGTGTTCTGAGGACAAATGAACACACCATTTATTTTTTAAAGAATACACACAGTCTGGAAACCATGATACATGATTGACTGACATTAAAAAGAACAAATATCTCACCGTGTTTTTTGTTTTTCGCGCATGCAATCAGGTTTGAAGGAGTTCTGAGTGAATGTGACGTGTACAGTTGGTAGATATTCTGTAGGCTTTATGATCACATGACTGCTGTCCACATTACACCTTTCTTTGGATTTTATAACCTACCATGACCTCCTCTGACCGGTGTTCACTGTATTTGCACAGATTCGGTGCGTTTGAAATGTCATTAAGCAATACGCTCTGAGAAAAAATGGTGTGTCCAGGTTAATCCACCCTAACGCCATTATTATTATTATTATTATTATTTTGATATCCATTTTGTGTCAATGCAATGTATATTGGACTTGATGCTCAATAAAGTGTGTAAACAGAGAGAGAGCCTGTTTAGTGTTTTTACATTTTAGATGAGAACACACTCTGGGTTCAAGTGTGTTAGACCTCTGCTCGGTAACTGGAACCCGGGGGAAGTGTCACGTTTCAGGCTTGGCTGCAACTCAGCGCCCTCCACGACACACGCAGGAAATATCAGGATTGTGAGAAACGATGAGGAAGAGGGTAACGTTTGTGGAGCAGCTGAAAAAAGAGACCAGGTTAAAAAATGGGCACGTGTTAACGAGGTGAGAGCACAGTGCGAGAGTTTTAAATGGATAGGAATTATGCATTTATGTATTTTTAAAAGTAGGATTTATGTTTCTGTCTTATTTCAGGTCTGCAGAATATAGCCAGAGAGGCACAGATGGTGAGTCAAATAGTCCTAATTCAACATGAGAAAAGCTGCTTTTATTATTCATTTTCCAATATATTCCTTGAATGCAAGTGATATCTAAGATACAATTGAAGCTGTTTGCTTTCTACTCAACGACAAATTGTCTGCTTTTGTCATTTGTATTTAGACCTTTTACTTTTGGAGTTATAACGAAAAAAAAATCATATATTTTAGATGAATCTGCAAGTCCACGACTAATTGGTGTAAAATAAGTAAAGTCTTTCAATCAGAAATAACTTTGCAGAAGTACAATAGGAAGATTATAAGTCAAAACAATTATTATTAATTTGCAGAAGCACCTTATACAGTATTTTACATATTACATTTTTGTATCATCATTTGAGATGCATTAGTGGGGTAATTTAAATTACTTTAAATGGTCGTTTTATAATAAATCCTATTTTTTAAGACACTTTCAGATTTTTTTCTTCAGTCTCTGCTGCATGTTTCTTTTGCAGGTGTTGAATATCTACCTAGTGAGCAGGTGAGGGAGGCGTTCAGAGGAAAACACGGTAACGTTTCTTCAGGAGGACAACACATGAAGACGATCCACGTTCCCAAATCCATGATGGCTGCTCCCTTCTTACAGGTAAACACATGACACCAGAACACAAGGTCGTTTTTTCTATTTGTTTATATTCGCTTCAAGACTGTTTGAATATCATCATTTGAATGGTGGTAGTCCATTTAATCAGTCAAATTAATGCCATTTTTAGGTAATGCCTGCAATCATTAGACCAAATATTATTTTTTTATTATATATATCTATATATATATATATCGTAACAGAGCTAACCTGAGAGAAGGCCATTACACTTTTATTGTTTACTTATTCATTTTTTATGTCTCAGAAAGAAAGTTTAGTGTTTTGATAACCTGTGATTATTTTTATAGTTATACATTTTGCATTTTTTCTATGCGTGCAGATACATGTAGGCAAATGAACAGTGCAGACAAAAAACAACAAATACAATTATTTTTTGTATTATTTGTATTATTATTAAATTGATAGATATCTTAAAGTTTTAACAATATATCTGACAATTTAAATCAAATTAATCTGCTATATCAAAATGCTAAAAGATGGTCTATAGCGTAATCCCTGTGTGCATTGGAATATATATATTTATATATATTTTATTGTATGGCCATTGTATATTAGCTATCTAAATTCATACAGATGCAGATCTTTTTAAGCAGAAGAGACAATTTGTACAATTAAAGTGAAATGAATGTTGATTTAAGTTCAGCAAATTAGTTATTTTTATTATTAAACTGTCGTATTTGATCAAATGCAATAACAAATCAAACCTTCCCAGCTCTTTCGGCCATTCAAATCCCATAAGGCACCACCATTAAATTGCGCTATTCCTCATATGTAAAAGGATTACTGTCATTCTGCTCTATTATATAATCTCATGAGTTCTGTTTGTGCTGCAGCATCCCGCCCTCACAGCCGGACAGAGACGCTACCTGTGCAGCATAGCAAGCGTCTACAGCACGGAGCACATGAAGCAGCAGATGAAGCAGCACTACCTGCACCTTCTGCACACATGCCTTCAGTCAGGTGTGTGTTTAAACATCCCTCACACACCTCTGTTGACCAGAAGTGGGAAGTAGTGGAGTACAAATACTTCGTTACTGAACTTAAGTACATTTTTCTGGTATCAGTACTTTACTCCACTACTTATTTTTCTGACGACTTTTTACTTTGACTTCTTACATTTTGAACCCAAATACCTGTACTTTCTACTTCTTACATGTTGAACACAAATACCTGTACTTTCTACTTCTTACATGTTGAACACAAATACCTGTACTTTCTACTTCTTACATGTTGAACCCAAATACCTGTACTTTCTACTTCTTACATGTTGAACACAAATACCTGAACTTTCTACTTCTTACATGTTGAACACAAATACCTGTACTTTCTACTTCTTACATGTTGAACACAAATACCTCTACTTTCTACTTCTTACATTTTGAACCCAAATACCTGTACTTTCTACTTCTTACATGTTGAACACAAATACCTGAACTTTCTACTTCTTACATGTTGAACACAAATACCTGTACTTTCTACTTCTTACATTTTGAACACAAATACCTGTACTTTCTACTTCTTACATGGTGAACACAAATACCTCTACTTTCTACTTCTTACATTTTGAACCCAAATACCTGTACTTTCTACTTCTTACATGTTGAACTCAAATATCTGCACTTTCTACTTCTTACATTTCCCAAACAGGCTGGTTCCTTTAGTTTGAATGTGTGTTTGGTGGCGTGATCATTATTATTTAGAGTCATTGCGTGCCTATTGATTTGAACACGATCCGTGTATCCATCATTTCCTGGTCTTCTCTAAAGAAGAGGGACCAATGAAAACGTTGTCATGTTGCCGTTGTTCAGCATGGAAACATTCATTAGCTAACAATGACATTATTGTTCTATTAATATAAAGGGAGGTCAGGTACTCTTTAAAACAGCTGCTAGTTATGGGTACTTTTTACTGAAGTACATTTCAAAGCCCACACTTCTTTACTTTTACTTGAGTAAAGAAGTTTAGTCAGTACTTCTACTTTTACCAGAGTATTTTTAAACACGAGTATCTGTACTTCTATTTGAGTAAAGGATGTGTGTACTTTTGCCATCTCTGCTGTTGACCAGTAAGATCCATCTCATGTTGTGGTTTTTTATCTCTCAGGTCAGAATCCCCCCTGCAGCAGGAGGCTTGGGACTCATCAGCGAGGAGAAAACAAAACAAAGGATGCAGTGAAGGATGTAAGGATGAAGCCTCAAGGACAGAGGAAGAGCAGCAATAATTCTGATGTCATACTTCCAAAAATAATCAACAGATGACCCATTTGATGGCATATTATTTTCAAGGTGTTATTACCTTATATTGAGGTATTGAGTCCTTTATAAATACAGTCTATGGTGCATTCATGTTTTTTTACATATACGTATAAACAAATATAACAACACTGCATTTGCTAAGGTACTCAACGTGTTTACTAGTTACATTTTGCTCAGTTATTTTACTGTCTAGTAGTTGTGGAATATAACTTTATTGTCATTCTCAAAAGATAAATAAAGATGAAAGAAATCTCATGTTTGTCATAAAGGGTACTTGTATTCTTAATAATACTTTTATACAAAACAGAACATTAAATATTGTATAAAATATTCTATTGTCCTTGAGTTCTAGGAATCAGACTTTATATATTTATATCAATATACAATATGATATGCCTATAGTCAACAAGGTAGGTTGAATTAACATTGTTAAAAAATGAACAGTAACACAAGATTATATCATGTATATTAAATAAGTGCATACAATCCTAAACAAGGAGAATAACTGATATAAATTACAAAAATAAATAGTCTTGAATTAAAATTAAAATAATAATAAAATAAAATGACAGTACAATTTTAGCTCTGCATTTAAGGGATAACCAGATAAAAGTTAAGAAACATAAACAAATTGTGAGATTTGTATCAATTTGGCTCTGTTTTTTTTATTTAAAAATATCCGCGCAGATTTTCTTGTTAGTCTTTTTAAAAAACTCCATTAGCTTCACTAGTTAGCATAACCGTTAGCTAGGTTAGCTATCAGACTTCCTGTTAGCATCTTCCCGCCTTCAGAGAAAATATGAACTGTGTTCTGGAAGGAAATGCTGTAAAAGGTAATATAAAACAAGACTTGTGACATATGTAATGATTTGTAAAGAACAATAATATAATCCAGAGGGTTAAAAAAAAACGTAACTTAATTAGTTTAGGCTTATAAAACATTAACTTATCATAAAACGCTAGCTGGTTAGCTTAGTTTAGCTTCTAACCAGCTAGCTAACAAAGGCATTTTATAAAAGCTAGGCTATTGTTATGATCGATATTGTTAATTTAAACAATAGTGTTAATGTTTTAATTAATTATACACTTTACTTACATCATTATAGGTATTTGATATTGTTTTAGTATTCCTCAAAGTTGTTTAATGGTTTTATATGTGTTTAATATGTGTTATTGATTTGTTTCTTTTGTAAAGTGGTATTAGTTTTATTGTTTTTATGTTGTTTTGTTGTGTTGCAGCATTTGGAAAGGCCATTCACTGCCTGTCACGGATTGGAGATGAGCTTTGTTTGGATCCCATGAGTAAAGGGGTGAGCAGCACCTACTAAAACTGGGAATTATCTCATATCCCACAAGGAAATTATCCCATTTTCCTGACATTAATCAGAGGAGTAGCCAGGAATTCTGACTTGCCTAGAGAAGAGGTTTTGAAGTGGGAAGCTTAGACAAAACTTGGAAAAAGTACCCGCTTAGTTTTCTTGCTTCCTTCCTGGATGCCTATGGGATCATGATTATGTGATTTGATTCTAGACACTCAAAATTAAGCCAAGATATTGCTGTGTGAATTAATTTCACACACATCACACATATGTAGGCTATTATATGCATCAACACCTGTTGTCTTCCTACAAAAATGTCCCTCTTTATGATTTATTTTGATATCTTATGTAATTACTAACACATTTATTTATGAGTCTTCCCCGAAAATGTTTTAAGACCTGCCTCCCTCTCTTTCATAGTGGATTAACGCTTGGGTTATTGCTTCCCCCATCATCTCTTTGTTTTTTAATTGAATCCATGTTATTTTACACAAGGCCTCCATATTGGTCTTTAAGTATTGGGCCTCCTTTCTTCCCAAATGCAGCAGGAGCATCTTCACTGAATATCTCTCTCTTTTTGTCTCAAAGCTGGCGCTGAGATCTGTGAATTCGGCTCATTCTGCGTACGCCTGCTTCCTCTTCTCGCCGATGTTCTTCCAGAAATACAACCTGGGTCCAGAGCAGGGCAGTGAGACAGTCCAATGCAAACTGCTCATGAAGGTACATCAGCCATTGTTGAGTTATTGTGGTTACAAGTGACATGTTCTATCTTAAAGGGGAGACACTTATTGGCATGTTTTGAGTAATAAAGTGTGTATAAATGAGTGTGTGAATGGTGTGTGAACGCTCTGTAAAAAGAATTCTGCTGAGACAAGAGGAGAGAAAACGGCCTTTAAAGGTATGGATTGTAAAACTCACACATGTCGTACACACTACAGGTGCATAAGGTAAAACATGTAACTAACAGATATCACCATGAGACTGTCCCCCATCATTACTGACAATAGTACAATTATTTTTTACATTACAAGTTTTCTGAAATGTTATGTTTAAATATGCTAATAAGGCATTATCTGATCTCTGATTCTCACGTTTGGTGAATTTAGGAGAAAACGACTCGCCCAAAACAAACAAAGTTAATCAATTAAACACCGAAATGTGGATTTTGTATCTTTTCTTTCCACTAGACATCTTAAAATTGACCAGTGCATGAAAAACAATTATTTAGCCTGTAGTGTCTCGGCTTAAAACGGCCATGATAACCTTGTCTAAAGCATGTCTTTCTTTCTTCTTCAGTCTATTCTACCTCTCTTCCGGTGTTTGGCTTCCATTGAGCGTAACGTTGAGCGATGTCAGATACAAATCAACACTCCCAATGACCGAGTGAAGATCCAGTTTTTCTGCAGACACGGTAGGAAACATTGCATTTGTTTTTATAAACCACCTGCAGGTACAGGAACTATTCAGGATTTGAAGTACATATCCTGTAAGATTGTAGGGACATTATATTTCTATCAATTTTTGTATTGACTTATAAGAACCCTGAGCCTTTGTCCTTCACTTGGTCAGTTTGCTTTTCCCATGCCTTGATGCTACAGACTCTGTAGTACCATGTTATGAGCACTTGGTGGCAGTGTAATCACTTGTGTTTTCTGACAGGCATCACCAAGACACACAACCTGTGTTTCCAGGAGAGTGAAGCTCTGCAGGCGGTGTTTGCTTCACATCTCTGTCCCAATGTGCTGAAAGCCCCCGCCAGGTGAGCAGCTATTCTTTATTTAGTATCCCCATTAATTATTACACACTACTAACAACTTTCCTTCATAAAGAGGGTGCCATGATCATACTCATATTTTGTATACACTGTAGAGCCCCCTGAGACAAATGTAAATGTGTGATATTGGGCTTTATAAATACACTTTCATTAATTCATTAATTCATTGGATCCACATTAAAGGTGGGGTAGGTAAGTTTGAGAAACCGGCTCGAGATACACTTTTTGTTATATTCCATGGAATGCTCTTAACATCCCGATAGCAATGAATATCTGAAGTACTTTGACAAAAAATTCATAAAAAATATCATCTGTGGAAGCCGTAGTACTGTAAAAAGCACGACCAATCATTTTAGCCGGCCCGGCTAAAGTAACTGGATGGCCTACCTGCCTGTCAGCCTTCCATCTGTGCACAAACTTATCTCGTGCCCTCATTGGTCATGTGCGCGTTCGTGTGTGTTGGAGGAGGGGCTCTGTAAGGAAGTGGGAGATTTCTGTGTATTTTCAAATTCTAGCGATCTCGAGCTGGTTTCTCCAAAATTACCTACCCCACCTTTAAAGACATTATATATATTTAAAAAAAAAAAATTAAAACTAAACAGTGAAAGTATGACACAAGCGCCTTCTGTGCAAAGATAAAAGCTTGATATATATTTATTTGATTTAGATTTAGAGAAATCTAAGGTCTAATATGTCTTAACATTTACTTAGAAGGTATTTACAGATTGTGGCAAGTGAGGATACTGTAAAATGAGTTAGATTTATGGCTGCTGCTTTCAGGATTCAGTCTCTTTAATAGAAACATGTTAGATGTTCACAATGTTTTGTACTCACAGTTGGGTAAATACATTCACACAGCTTCAGTTCAATTCAGTCTAATCAACCAGATTGACAAGGACATAACGATTTAATACCCAAGGTATCATGTGTCAGCAGTGTTTACATGAGGCTCTCCGCTCGATGCTCAGGTTGATTGACATATTGTTTCTGCTCTTCCTCTGCAGGCTTCTTGGTGAAATGGTGATGCACTTCCCCGTCTCCCAGGAGGAAATCACTCTGTCCATCACTCCTCTCAGAGTCAGTCTGAGAAATTACTTTGAGGGCGCAAATGGTGAGCTAACGATACACTATGACCGTGCTGTAGTTCCTTTATAGCCCAACATTAGCCGCCTTTAGCTTAGCGGTGGTGACGTGAAGTCATGTGACCGTGCTGTAGTTCCTTTATAGCCCAACATTAGCCTCCTTTAGCTTAGCGGTGGTGACGTGAAGTCATGTGACCGTGCTGTAGTTCCTTTATAGCACAACATTAGCCGCCTTTAGCTTAGCTGTGGTGACGTGAAGTCATGTGACCGTGCTGTAGTTCCTTTATAGCCCAACATTAGCCACCTTTAGCTTAGCGGTGGTGACGTGAAGTCATGTGACCGTGCTGTAGTTCCTTTATAGCCCAACATTAGCCACCTTTAGCTTAGCTGTGGTGACGTGAAGTCATGTGACCGTGCTGTAGTTCCTTTATAGCCCAACATTAGCCACCTTTAGCTTAGCGGTGGTGACGTGAAGTCATGTGACCGTGCTGTAGTTCCTTTAGAGCCTAACGTTAGCTTTTTACTTCAGAAATCATAAAGTGGTGTTAATATGTGGAGATTATCCCGCTGAACTAAACCTGTAAGTATCATAAACGTTTGTTTGCCACAGAGATTATTTTCTGCAATAATCCAAAATACAAGTCCCCTCCCGTTGGCCTAGAAAAATATGTCATGACTGCACCACTCCATAGTGTGAGTGACAAAGGTTTACCAGATTTAAAGGAATACATCACCCACAAAATGACCATTTCTATATCAATGACTGTTTTACCTCAAATTCTTGAAGAACACTCTTGTTTTTCTTGCGTGACTCCAGATTGAATTAAAGAATAAAAATACTGAGAAAAGTCTAATTCATCAAGCCGTTTGCACACCACTTCACAAACACATGCAAAAGAGTGAGACTTCTTCAGAAGTGTTTTTGAATTTAATTGAAAATCACGTGTTTGTAAAGTAGTGAGCATACAACTGGATATATATAACGTTGGTAATACTCTAAACATGTTGTGTGTGAGAGTTTGTAAACTGATGTTTTTATGTAGTTAAAATGTGGAAACATGCAAGAAAAATAACATTTTGTCCAAGAATTCACAGGCTAAGTTTTTATGTGGGTGTTTTTATTAACAACCTAACCTGAATATGAAAAGTGCTGCGTATTAAATCCTTCTACAAACACTAAAGAACATCGTGCAGATATTATTTGACTCCAGGATGTTTTCACAGATCACATGAAGACTATGTACACGGAGATGTCTCTACACCCAGACGAGTTCGACTACTTTCAGATCGGAGTGGAGTCGGATATAACCTTCTGTCTCAAGGAGCTCAGGGTAACAGGAGTGTGTGTGTGTGTGTGCATGTGTGTGCGTGTGTGTGTGCGTGCGTGCGTGCGTGCGTGCGTGCGCGTGCATATATCCGTGTATGTGTTTGACTGGTTTACGTAACTATTACTACTAAACTATAAATGTTAGGCTGGATTAAGTCGTGTAGTTTGTTAATAAAAATGTGTTTCCGGCCAATTAGGAATGTTTTTTAAGAGCTTAGTAAGAGTAAGAGACTACTACTGTAATATTTATGTGCTAATATGTTGGCTTACACAGCAACAAATTGGGCTGAACAAATATATTTAAAACCTTTTTTATTACAGATTAATTCGCTGACTAGCTTCTAGATTCACAGTTTGTTCTATTAAAAGTCCAAAAATAGTGAAAAAGTCCATGGGGATGGCTTTAATTGTCTTGTTTTTTAAATCCGAACCCCACAAATATTCACTTTAATAACATCGAACAGAGAAAAGCTGAACATCTCCACATTTTTCGAGGCTAAAAACAGCATTTTTTGCCTAAAATAACTCGAATAACAAAATAGCAGTCGATATTTCTACTGTCCTTCAAGCAATCAGTTCAGCTCTAACAGTTACTAAAGTTATGAGTTGTAGAAGTTTGACTACCTTTAAAGCCAACGAGGCATATGTTTGTATTAAAGGCCTGAAGTCAATCTTAAACTGATTATATTCTGAGTAACAGCAAAACATTGAAACCTAATCAAAAATAATCTAATTTCCAGAGTTCTGTGCTCAATACACAAAATTGATTTGTTACAGAGTTTAAATTGCTTTCTTCTGTATTGACTTAAAGGAAACAAAAGGAGCTGCTTGGCTGTTTTGAGATGTGGATAAACCCTCTTGTGTTCAGCTCCTTACACACCGAGCTGATTTTCGGCGTCGGGCCGCCGATGAGCGTCGTGTCGCCCTACTCAGATTGGTGTGTGCTGCACCGTCGTGTCTTTTCGGCCGTACCGACACCTTCCGCCGCCGATTCGACTTGTTGCCGTCGGCCAAAGAAATCACTCTGATTGGCTGTTCAGCTTAGCGAATCAGTGCATGAGAAGCGAAACGGAAGTGAGGGACCCAAACAAACGATTAAGAAGGCCAATCTGAGATTTCCTTTAACTCCAGCTCTCGACACAGGTTCAGGAAAGCCCCATGAGCTTCTCGCTGTAGAGTGAAAATGGAACGCACACGCTATTTGTTGTTGTTTATATCACGCAGTCTGTTCTTCTTCTCTCGGTGTATCACGCAGTCTGTCTTCCGGTTGTTGCCTCTTTTGAATGACGAATACACACTACCGCCGCCTGCTGGTAAGGAGAGTTATTGCCACTCACGCATGCGCAGTTCGTACGTGCTACTTGGCCGTCGGCTGAAGTCTTTGCGGTGTGTTCCAGTGCGACACATGGCCAAGACGCAGGAGACGTGAGGCGACGTTCCCTCGGGACGTGTTCTTTGGTGTCAGTTTGGTGTCAGTTTGGTGTCAGTTTGGTTTCAGTTTGGTGTGTAAGAAGCTTAAGTGCAGGTAATCAGACTCGACCTGAATTAGCTCTTGTCCCTGATCAGTGAGACTCCCTGCTGTGAGTCGTCTTGCTCATTTCCGTTTTTGGAAAATTGGGTTTGGATGGATTAGAGACCGGGTTTTAAAGTTTAAATCGGCCTCAATTCACTGGAGAATTTAGATGTTTCTTTCGCCTAGTCATTGTAAACATGCTAAGCTTTCAAAGTTTAAAAAAAATCACACAATCAAACAAGCATGTCTCCGTTTTCTGACGTGAATTGTTGCTATTATTTTTTCTACAGGGTTTACTGTCCTTTGCAGAGTCACACTGCCTTCCAGTGTCCGTCCACTTCGGTGCTGCAGGAAAGTGAGTGTGTGTTAAGTTTAAAGAGGCCCTATAATGCTTTCATCCCTTTCCTGTAGTGTGTTATATAGGTTTCAGTGCATGTAAACGGTCTGCAAGGGCTAAAATCCCTGAACATCCTTTCTAGAACATAGAAATTAAATCACTATGTAACACTCGCGCTTCTATTGGCTAGTGCTCCAACACATAGTATGTGATAGAATAAGGGGCGGGACATCTCTAAGCGGTTGACCAATCACAACAGAGCCGGCCAGCTAACCAATCAGAGCAGACTGAGAGGACTCTTTAAAGTAGAGACACTACATACTGATATACACCTGAACATCAGCAGGAGAGGACTCTTTAAAGTAGAGACACTACATACTGATATACACCTGAACATCAGCAGGAGAGGACTCTTTAAAGTAGAGACACTAGATACTGATATACACCTGAACATCAGCAGGAGAGGACTCTTTAAAGTAGAGACACTACATACTGATCTACAGCTGAACATCAGCAGGAGAGGACTCTTTAAAGTAGAGACACTACATACTGATATACACCTGAACATCAGCAGGAGAGGACTCTTTAAAGTAGAGACACTAGATACTGATATACACCTGAACATCAGCAGGAGAGGACTCTTTAAAGTAGAGACACTACATACTGATATACACCTGAACATCAGCAGGAGAGGACTCTTTAAATACCAATGTCAGTCTTAAAGACTTTCCAAACTGAGTGTGTTTTTTAAATATATAAAATATAACTGTACTTCTGTCCCTGGTGGATATCCCTCAGCGTGTGTTTGATGTCTGCAGGCCTGTGTGTTTCTCAGTGGAGGATATGATCCTGGAGGCCACCGTAGTTCTGTCCACTCTGATCGACTCTGAGAGCCGGGGCTCCTCTCAGCCGGCAGAGACCCTCACTGTGGCCCCCAGGACCCCCACCAGGTAACACTGAGCAGCCATCATCAATAACAATATATCACAATAACAAAGCTAAAACTCTGATCAGCTGAATGTACATACAAACAGATAGGAGATAGTTAAAATATACTGTATGTGTGCAGGTGCAGGTCAAACTGAAAGTGTAATGCAGCAGCTAAATGTCTTTAAACTATATATATGTCCACTATATTTAAAATGTCTTAGGCTCATTACTCTAAATGAAGGTCTTAATTGATTGTATGCAGGTGTGCAGATGTTGTACCTGAGTCTCCAGGTGAGGCAGACTGCAGGAAAGCTGCTGTCCCTGCTGGGATGGAGCTGGTGGCCTCCAGTCAGGGCAGCCCCATCACAAACAGCCCCGCTCTGCTGCTCCTCCACCATCTCTCTGAACCGCACTATCAGGAGAGGGCCAACTCCACTCCTGCCTCCTCGGTAACAAGAGCTTCCTGTAGTCAGAGATGGCAAAAGTACACACATCCTTTACTCAAGGAGAAGTACAGATACTCATGTTTAGAAATACTCTGGTGAAAGTAGAAGTACTGACTAAACTTCTTTACTCAAGTGAAAGTAAAGAGGGCTTTGAAATGTACTTCAGTAAAAAGTACCCATAACTAGCAGCTGTTTTAAAGAGTACCTGACCTCCCTTTATATTAATAGAACAATAATGTCATTGTTAGCTAATGAATGTTTCCATGCTGAACAACGGCAACATGACAACGTTTTCATTGGTCCCTCTTCTTTAGAGAAGACCAGGAAATGATGGATACACGGATCGTGTTCAAATCAATAGGCACGCAATGATTCTAAATAATAATGATCACGCCACCAAACACACATTCAAACTAAAGGAACCAGCCTGTTTGGAAAATGTGAGAAGTAGAAAGTACAGGTATTTGGGTTCAACATGTAAGAAGTAGAAAGTTCAGGTATTTGGGTTCAACATGTAAGAAGTAGAAAGTACAGGTATTTGTGTTCAACATGTAAGAAGTAGAAAGTACAGGTATTTGTGTTCAACATGTAAGAAGTAGAAAGTACAGGTATTTGGGTTCAACATGTGAGAAGTAGAAAGTACAGGTATTTGGGTTCAACATGTAAGAAGTAGAAAGTACAGGTATTTGGGTTCAACATGTGAGAAGTAGAAAGTACAGGTATTTGGGTTCAACATGTGAGAAGTAGAAAGTACAGGTATTTGTGTTCAACATGTAAGAAGTAGAAAGTACAGGTATTTGTGTTCAACATGTAAGAAGTAGAAAGTACAGGTATTTGGGTTCAAAATGTAAGAAGTAGAAAGTACAGGTATTTGTGTTCAACATGTAAGAAGTAGAAAGTACAGGTATTTGGGTTCAAAATGTAAGAAGTGGTTCAACATGTAGAAGTAAAGTACAGGGTATTTGGGTTTTCAACATGTTTGAGAAGTAGGAAAGTACAGGTATTTGGGTTCAACATGTGAGAAGTAGAAAGTACAGGTTATTTGGTGTTCAAACCCATGTAAGAAGTAGCGAAGTACAGGCTATTTGTTGTTCAAACATGTAAGAAGTAGAAAGTACAGGTATTTGTGTTCAACATGTAAGAAGTAGAAAGTACAGGTATTTGTGTTCAAAATGTAAGAAGTAGAAAGTACAGGTATTTGTGTTCAACATGTAAGAAGTAGAAAGTACAGGTATTTGAGTTCAACATGTAAGAAGTAGAAAATACAGGTATTTGTGTTCAAAATGTAAGAAGTAGAAAGTACAGGTATTTGGGTTCAACATGTAAGAAGTAGAAAGTACAGGTATTTGGGTTCAACATGTAAGAAGTAGAAAGTACAGGTATTTGTGTTCAAAATGTAAGAAGTAGAAAGTACAGGTATTTGAGTTCAACATGTAAGAAGTAGAAAGTACAGGTATTTGGGTTCAAAATGTAAGAAGTAGAAAGTAAAAAGTCGTCCGAGAAATGGAGTAAAGTACTGATACCAGAAGAATGTACTTAAGTTCAGTAACGAAGTATTTGTACTCCACTTCTTCTCACCTCTGCTCACATCGACCAATGGATTCTTGTTCTCTGTCCTTTAAGATGGACTTGACCCCTTAGTGATACAATCTGACAGTTTCAGCTCCTTCTGTACTTTACCCCAAGCAGAAGGAGCAGAAGGAGCAGAAGGAGCAGAAGGAGCAGAAGGTCTTCCTGGTTGAAACATTTCGCTGACATGTCATTTTTTTTTTTTTCAGATTTGCTCGTTGCTGTTCAGGGCGATGTCCCCAGAATCGGGGGAGGGACTTCCTGTCCTGGCGTGTTGCAGCGATGAAGAGGAGGCTGAGGAGGAAGATGTGATGATGATGAGGAGGAGCCCGACACTCTGACAACAGTAGGACATTCAACCGGTGTTAGTTATTTATTTATTTATTTAAAGATTTGTAAGCATGTTAGCTGAAGTGTTCAAATCAGTTTTAAACAGAGAAGAGTTTCCCGAAAAATGTTCTGTTGGAAACGTACAATAATTATTTATAAAAGAATGAATGAATGTATTTATGGAAATGGAATTAAATCGATGTTTCATTGCGGAGGACCCTCTGTTTTGTGTCCTTCCCCACTTCTCAAACCAAAGTTACACCCGTGTAAAGTGATGCCAGAAAACTATATTTCTGTTCCTCAAAAACGGTATAATTACTACAGAAATATGAAAATGGTGTCAAACTGAGCGTCAGAGACAGCTTTGTTTTTACGGAGCTTCGACGTGTTGTTTAAGAATTGATATATCTTATATACAAGATCAGCGCCACAGTACGGATACTATATATATATGTATTTCTTGAAAAACCCCTGAGTAATTGTTTTAAAGCAGAATAAATATTAACAAGTGCCTATCCCAATAATTATACAGTGCAATTAACTCACTTAATGATACAATCATCTGATCTTAATCCATTTGAAGTTTGTTTATAATGCATTATAGACATGGGCGTTGTAGAAAATGCTATAATAACAATTCCTACATTTGGTTTGTCTAAGAAAACATTACCTCAGCCTGAAGATGCCACACCTGTCTGATGGTAGTGTGTCTCATGTCTGAGGAATCTAGGCACACACACACACGGAGATACACACACACAGAGATACACACACACACACAGAGATACACACACACACAGAGAGACACACACACACACACACACACAGAGATACACACACACACGGAGATACACACACACACGGAGATACACACATACACTGAGACACACACACACACGGAGATACACACAGAGACACGGAGATACACACACACAGATACACACAGAGACACGGAGATACAGAGATACACACACACACAGATACACACACAGAGACACGGAGATACACACACACGGAGACAGATACGGAGACACACACACACGGAGATACACACACACAAAGACACATATGGAGATACACACACACACACACAGAGACACACCCGGAGACACACACACACTTCTTAAGCGTTTAATAACGGAGATCAGCGAGATAAACCCTGGCAGCGGATCGTGTGATCATCATTCCATCATGGAGAAAGAAACAACCCTCGAGCATCAAGGAAAGAAGAGAAAAAAACGTCCAATACAACGGGTTAATAAATACTATACTCTTTATTTAAATATTGTACAGATCTGAAAATGTTGTTGTTTCTTTACAGAGCTTCATTGACCTGTACTCGCAGAAATATATACAGACACGTGCTCCGTTTGTAACAAAGGGTTAGAGAGGCGTCGGGCAGGAAGAGCAGCTCAGATTGTCCTCAAATATATTTTAAAAAAGGAAATACTTTTTCAACCTGGACGTTATTTCCCCCGTTTAATTTGGACATTTCTGTAATTGGTGCAGATGTTAAAGAATGTATAGTAATGCTCTGAAGTGGAAGAAGTACTCAGATCCTTGACTTTAGTAAATGTAGAAATACCTTTGTACGAAAATACTCATCATTTCAAGTCAAATGAGGCAGAATCGAGCTTAGAGAAGGTACTTAGTGTGCAGAATGGCTCTTTTCAAAGCATTAAATAACTATATAATATTACATTATCCTGTGTATATCACTTTAATGTACATGAAAAGGTATTTTAATGTTGTTACTAAAGGGAATAGAGATGATTGAGTGGAAGTGTTAAATGGAAATACTCAGGTAAAAGTATATAAAAACATTACTTGAGAATGGTATTTGAGTAAATGTACTGCTCTGATTATTATCTGACAACATTATATAAAGGACACTACAGAGAAATTAAACTATTTCCTTTCCTCTGTTTTAGTGTGTAAAGGTGAGTGAGAGTTGTTACAGTTTGTTGTGTTTGGGTACAGAAAGTGTATTGTACATATCATTGCTAAATATTACATTTATTTTGACGCAAACTTACAGAATGAGTGATTTCCGAGTGAGACTAACACACCTTAATAAAGTGGAAGTAAAGAGAAAATGTATATTTCTCTTTAGGGGCTTATTTATCATGTTGTCAGACACTAATAATATCAATATAAGTGGAATAAAAACAACTTTTACCGGACGTTCATTGAAGAGAAATGATTAAATCGCAGCCCTTAAGTCACTTTGACATTGGCTCACAAGGTCCAGGTTGAAACATATATAAAATACCCTTTAAAAAACAACTTTTTTTTTTAACGTTCACTGCTCTTCCGTGCCCATCAGCCCTCATTACAAAATGACACTTCAGTGGGAGTTAGTCACAAAGTAGGAAACAGTCCGTTGAGCAGATTGTAAACAGAGATCTGGAGATCCACAGGGAGGACTCTAAATGGCTTCATCACTATTCCTAAGCTCCTCCAGAGGAAGCAGATTTCAGGATGTTGTCTTATAGAGTGGCGAAGTCCCTCCCTTTCCGGGGGACCTCCATGGGACCTTATTTCGGATAAATTATATATTGAAGTCAATGGAGAGAGAAAGATTATCTCTCGATCCCGTTTGAATTGAGCCAAGAATTACACATATGATGTTTTTCAATTTAAAAGATAATTTTTCAAGTAAAAAAAATTAAAATGTGTCGTAAAACTGTGAAGTAACACTTTTTGTGTGTGAAACCGCTCAATGAACTACATCTCCCGTCTCGCACCACACACCAAGACGGCCGTCACGTTGGCACATTTCACTTCTTTCTTTCAGAATGAGGCGGAAAGTATTAAAAGAGGTGAAAATCACTCCAAGTCTGGGCATGTTGAGAGCTGTACATACACACAAGGGGAGTTAGTCGGTTCATAAGAGCCAGCATGCGGGACCGGGACTCTGGGATTTGTAGTCTTTCTAGTTGCATATTTTTCATAGTCTTATATTTCAACAGTTTTACGACAAACTGTCAATCTTAAAAAATAATTTCCATGTAAAAAAAGTCACAAACATCATATGTGTAATTCGTGGCACAATTCAAACGGGACTTCAATACATAATTTTTCCGAAATAAGGTCCCATGGGTCAGAAGTAGATGGGCGGGACTTCGCCTCTCTATATCTGTTGTTACAGTTAAGACAGCAGTGCATGATGGGTAATCTGTCTATGGCTACTTATAACAGTTGTAGGTTTCCTGCGCCTGGCACAAAGTCGGGTCTTTAGGATTTATGAGCGTGTGACGTGTCAACACACCTGATACAAGGCACATCTTTATAACGTTACAAGTATTTGAACTGTGGCAGGGAGTTAGATGGAGAGCCCAAATCTACAGGGACATTTCATTTGAGTTCAAGAATTCAGAAAATAAAGTTTAAAGTATGACTTCTGAGTTTTAAGTCAGAGTTTGGGGGAATTGGGTCTAAATTCTCAGAATAAAATAAAGAAATCTAAAGTCCAAATTCTGGGTTTAAAGTCTGAATTTTAAAGAACAAAGTCTGGATTTTGAGTTTCAAGTCAAATTATGATTTTTAAGTCCGAGTTAAACTTCTGAAAGTCTAAGTTGTAAAGTCCCAATTCTCAGTTTTAAAGTCAAAATCATGGGAATGAAGTCAGAAATTTGAGTTAAGGGTCCACATTTAAGAGATTCAGGATTCTGAGTTCAAAGTCTTACGTTGTGAGTTCAAAGTCTTACGTTGTGAGTTTAAAGTCTTACGTTGTGAGTTCAAAGTCTATACTTGTGAGTTCAAAGTCTTACGTTGTGAGTTTGAAGTCTATACTTGTGAGTTCAAAGTCTTACGTTGTGAGTTTGAAGTCTTACGTTGTGAGTTCAAAGTCTATACTTATGAGTTCAAAGTCTTACGTTGTGAGTTCAAAGTCTGACGTTGTGAGTTTGAAGTCTTACGTTGTGAGTTCAAAGTCTATACTTGTGAGTTCAAAGTCTTACGTTGTGAGTTCAAAGTCTTACGTTGTGAGTTCAAAGTCTGACGTTGTGAGTTTGAAGTCTTACGTTGTGAGTTTGAAGTCTATACTTGTGAGTTCAAAGTCTTACGTTGTGAGTTCAAAGTCTTACGTTGTGAGTTCAAAGTCTTACGTTGTGAGTTCAAAGTCTTACGTTGTGAGTTTGAAGCCCTGAAGTTATGAAAACAAAGTTCAATGTCTGAATTTTGGTAAAAAGTCAGAATTCTGAACTTCAAAAGTCTAAATTCTCAAGAAACTCAAAACACATTTTCACATGTGGCTCTAATCCTCCTCTGTATAAATCTATGAAACACACAAAGACCAATCTTCACATGAAACCTTCCCGATGTGCCGTTAGAGATCTCTACAGAAGGAGGGAGAGAACAAGAAGAACGTTTCTAAATCTAAATGAAATCCCACTGAACAGAGAATACAAAAAGAAAAGGACCAGAGTTTTTCCGATATGCTTCTCAAGCTTTGTGCGTTTCTACGCCCAGTGGAAACATCCTCAGAAACCCAGACTTCAGCCGTGACTTTAAAGGGCGTCAGACTTTCTGAATATAAAATCCTTGTTTTAAACATGAAGTAACAAAATGTGTGCAGTCCCAGCTCGTCTTCATGGAGTCGTGTTGGATAGAAACCTACCACAGATGCAGAGATGTCACATACGCTCGTTTTTTTTTTTGAATATCTTACAAAACATCCCAGAACAGCACACGGTCACAACCTACTTTTAAACATTCGCTCCCTGCACCTTGGTTATAATCTACCAGTGTATAATTAGGATTAACTACTCGCACAAGGCAGCTTTTAATGAGCCCTAATATCAGGGATTCGCCCTGTGACTGCTATTCATATTATGGCAAATATAAAGAAGTCATTCGCCGATGTTTATCTGTTGTGTTGCATTCATGTTGTCCTGTAAAAATTATGTTTTTATTCTAGGTACTAGGCCTGTGCAATTAATCGTATTTTAATCTCGATTTTGGCTTGCAACGATTACGAAAACAACGTAATCGAAATAAAACGATTATTATTTTTATAAAAAAATAAAAATAATGGACTTATTTCTTTTTCAAATTTTTTTTTTTTTTAATTGGTTTTTCAGTTGAATTATACTTAAAGTTCAGGGTAATCAACTGTTAAAAACATACTGTTCACATTTTTTTTTCAATAAATGGATGTTTTCAAAGTAAATGGATAATCGTGTTTTTATAATCGTGATATCAATTATTGACCAAAATAATCGTGATTATGATTTTTGCCATAATCGCACAGCCTTTTTGACAAATACAAATGGGAGAACATGACGGCTGTGTGCGTGAATTACACCGTCTCCGAGTAATGACATGCAGTTTGTAAGATGTGTTTCTTTCGTGAAATGCAACGTGAATATTAGAGATATCATTTCCTCTGTTATCCAGTGCTATGCAGCAGAGAGGGTGACATTATGTTTAATCGTTGTTACATTTATAGGACGTTTTTACCAACTAAAATGGCTTTAAAAGCATTTGTTATCCAAAAATGAGAAGAAGGAAATAATATCTTTCCAGTAGATGAAGGCTGTTGGTTTGAGTTTATGTTGTTGGCAGTCAAAGATAATGAAGGGCTGTTTCATGACTCAGGTGTTGTTGTTTCCCTGGCACAAAAACATTGATTTTAGCGCAGAATTTCCCAATCGGTGCATCCCTTCCTGACGCTGCCGCCTCCTGTGCAGATCTCTACTGACATGGAGCACCTTTAACAGTCGAACACCGTCCGTCTGCCCACGTCTGACCCTCCTCCCAACAAACCTCCACCAGACACCGTTTATCCTCGTCTGCTGATCCTCAGGAAAAGGATTACACTCAGCAGCCGGTCCCAGTGTCTGTCCTCTGCCTGCCTGCCTGCCCCCCCCCCCCTCTGTTATCCAGCCTCTCTCTGGAGAAGAGTCTTTTTGGGGGGGGTCAGCTGGAGAGCCAGTGCATGCTGGGAAGAATCTGTCCTTCATCCTGGCCAGCAGGAATCAAAGCAGTCCATCAGCTGCAGACTCTAGTCGGTGTATTCAGCCACTATAGAGAGCAGCACTGTGATGTCATCAGGCTTTCCCCCTGCACACACACACACACATCTGTTAGGGTGTTTGGAGAAAACATGTATGTACAATAGATTGGTGGAAGGATGTCTTATTTCTGTAGTGGACCCTGAAGGCAGCATCTGACAGGTGCCCTCTACAAAAAGCTAATTTGATTTCTCTATTGGATTTTGGTTTATTTCAGATAATAATCTCAACGTTTATGATACTTATGTTTACATCAGCAGGATAATCTCCACATACAACTTATCATTTTTTAAGTAAAAAGCTAACGTTAGGCTGTAAAGGAACTACAGCACGGTCACATGACTTCACCTCACCACCGCTAAGCTAAAGGTGGCTAATGTTGGGCTATAGAGTGGCGAAGTCCCTCCCACTTACTTCCGGGGTATGGGACCTTATTTCGGAAAAATTATGCATTGAAGTCAATGGGGAGAGAAAACGTATCTTTCGATCCCGTTTGAATTGTGCCATGAATTACACATATGATGTTTGTCAAACTTAAAAAATCATTTCCATGTCAAAAAGGTCACAGTTTGTCGTAAAACTGTTGAAATATAAGACTATGAAAAATACGTAACTGTGATGTCACAATTGTTTACCTCCACCATTCAGATACCTAAGATCAGCGCAATATAGATATAATCTATCTATATGGCGCTGGCTAAGATAAGATAACTTTAACAAGATGCCTGTGTGCTTAGTACCAGGTTGTTATTATACCAGCAATGGGTCTTGCTCGTTCTTTTGCTTCCCGTCTGATGAAACGACCAGGAGTGGCTTGATCAAGTTAGCTACCTAGCTAGTAGCTAGCACGTTAGTTAGCATTACAGCCTTGTCATTTTTATTAGCCTTAACATGAAGTAACATTAAGTAACCCAAAATGTTAAACAGTAAGAGTAGTAGTCATATTTCGTGAACCCTTTGAATAGTACTGTCACCGGTGTGATCATTCTATAATACACCATTTAATTCCGGGGGAGAAATGCTAACGCTAACGTTAGCATCGGCGATCTTTTCTACTTCATGCTATCTGCACAAATGGTTGACATTAAACATTAAAACGACCAGGCAGTTCAGAGAGAATCAAAGGAAGGCAGGCAGGCAGCTTTGCATGACATTCTTCAGGACGTGTTTCATTGTGGTGATAGTGAGGGTAGTCAATCGTTTGTTGACAAGACAGTAGTGACGGCCATCTTGGTGACGTGTGTGGTTGACCAGAGATGTAGTTCATTTAGCGTTTCACACAAACAAATGTGTTACATCACAGTTTTACGGCACATTTATTTATTTTTGACTTGCAAAATTATCTTTTAAATTGACAAACATCATATGTGTAATTCGTGGCACAATTCAAACGGGATCGAAAGATAATCTTTCTCTCTTCATTGACTTCAATGCATAACTTTTCCGAAATAAGGTCCCATGGGGCTCAACCAGAAGGGGAGGGACTTCGCCACTCTATAAAGGAACTACAGCACGGTCACATGACTTCACATCACCACCGCTAAGCTAAAGGTGGCTAATGTTGGGCTATAAAGGAACTACAGCACGGTCACATGACTTCACATCACCACCGCTAAGCTAAAGGTGGCTAATGTTGGGCTATAAAAGGAACTACAGCACGGTCACATGACTTCACGTCACCACCGCTAAGCTAAAGGTGGCTATTGTTGGGCTATAAAGGAACTACAGCACGTTCACATGACTTCACGTCACCACCGCTAAGCTAAAGGTAGCTAATGTTGGGCTATAAAGGAACTACAGCACGGTCACATGACTTCACGTCACCACCGCTAAGCTAAAGGCGGCTAATGTTGAGCTATAAAGGAACTACAGCACGGTCACATGACTTCACGTCACCACCGCTAAGCTAAAGGTGGCTAATGTTGGGCTATAAAGGAACTACAGCACGGTCACATGACTTCACGTCACCACCGCTAAGCTAAAGGCGGCTAATGTTGGGCTATAAAGGAACTACAGCACGGTCACATGACTTCACGTCACCACCGCTAAGCTAAAGGTGGTTAATGTTGGCCTATAAAGGAACTACAGCACGGTCACATGACTTCACGTCACCACCGCTAAGCTAAAGGTGGCTAATGTTGGGCTATAAAGGAACTACAGCACGGTCACATGACTTCACGTCACCACCGCTAAGCTAAAGGCGGCTAATGTTGGGCTATAAAGGAACTACAGCACGGTCACATGACTTCACGTCACCACCGCTAAGCTAAAGGTGGCTAATGTTGGGCTATAAAGGAACTACAGCACGGTCACATGACTTCACGTCACCACCGCTAAGCTAAAGGCAGCTAATGTTGGGCTATAAAGGAACTACAGCACGTTCACATGACTTCACGTCACCACCGCTAAGCTAAAGGTAGCTAATGTTGGGCTATAAAGGAACTACAGCACGGTCACATGACTTCACGTCACCACCGCTAAGCTAAAGGTGGCTAATGTTGGGCTATAAAGGAACTACAGCACGGTCACATGACTTCACGTCACCACCGCTAAGCTAAAGGCGGCTAATGTTGGGCTATAAAGGAACTACAGCACGGTCACATGGCTTCACGTCACCACCGCTAAGCTAAAGGCGGCTAATGTTGGGCTATAAAGGAACTACAGCACGGTCACATGACTTCACGTCACCACCGCTAAGCTAAAGGAGGCTAATGTTTGGCTATAAAGGAACTACAGCACGGTCACATGACTTCACGTCACCACCGCTAAGCTAAAGGTGGCTAATGTTGGGCTATAAAGGAACTACAGCTCGGTCACATGACTTCACGTCACCACCGCTAAGCTAAAGGTGGCTAATGTTGGGCTATAAAGGAACTACAGCACGGTCACATGACTTCACGTCACCACCGCTAAGCTAAAGGTGGCTAATGTTGGCCGTGATGACGTTTAGTCGTCTCATTTAGACACTTGTTAGAAACCGCAGTCTTTAAATTCACCCGTGGGGTATTTACTGAAATATTTTATATCGTAGGACAAAACGTGTTAATCACAGACCTTATTCCAGCCTAACAACCAAAAAACACATTCAGAAAACCATTGACCTACAGACCAGGGGACAGAATATGCTAAAATGCTGACTGCAGAACATATGAGTGTTGTTTATATTACAGCTGTCTCACGTACCTCTCACGTTGAGGCCGTTGTCGCAGGCGAACTGAGCGAAAGGCGACATGTAGTTTGGATCGTACGCCAGGACGTGGGCCTGCTCGGCGATGCTGCGCGCCGTCTGCTGAACGCTCTCTATGTTCGTGTTCTGAGGAGCAGAAACACACGGGCATGAAGATCCATCATTCAATTCAAAATTCAAAGCTTTATTGTCATGTGCACAGTAGCTACAGTGTAGATATGGCAATGACAAACTGAAGTCACAGGCTCCTCCAACAGAGCAACATGAATATATATAGGACATAAAACAGATCAAATGGTGCAAGAGAATGTCCATAATGTGGTCAGTTGCTTTCATAAGACAATGTTTAACTTGTAAAACTCCTACAATGTTTATATATTATAGTGTAAAATATGACTAATAACAATGTAGATGATCCAGTAAATATACTTAGTGACTGTACTCTACTACTAAACAATATTTATATATACCTACACGAGTAAAATATGACTTTTGTCAAACATTTCTGGTTCAACAACAACCTTAAAACCTGCATTTACATGTATATAAATAAACCCGCCTGCTTAAACCCATCTGTAAATAACTACACACATACACAAGTCACATTTCTGATTCCACATCCACCTTAAAACCCGTTTTCCTCACCTTGAGTTTCTTGAGCTCCTGCAGGATCATGTAGTCGGGCATGTTGTCGAAGAGGCCGTCGCTCGCCGTGAGGATGATGTCTCCGAGCTGCACGTCGAACGAAGAGCTGTCCGCCGCCTCCGGACTAAACACACACACACAAACACACACACACACACACAGTCACTTATCTGATCATTTACAGCGTTTGCTACGTCGCTGAAACACGCTTCCTTCTGAATATGGAAAGGCTCCTCAAATAAATGTGGGAAAATATGGGGCCCTTTTTTCAAACGTGTTAAGAGGATTAAACTTTTGCATTTTGGAGGGGTCCCAACACTGAGGAGGGGGAGGAGGTGCTGCCGTACTGACATTTAGTGTTTATTATTGACATTTTTGTTTTAGCTGACTGGTTTTCTATTTATTTTATTTTATTTGTATGTCTGTTGTCTGTGTGGGATTTGGTTTGCCCTGGTGTTAAGCAGTATTCACATTGTTACTCTACCTATAAGTGAAGATTTGTTTACCTACTTTTGATACATGCTCTGATACAATAACTGTATGCTGTTGAAAAAACCCAATTAACAAAGTTTATAAAAAATAACATGCTTCCTTGAACTAAAAAGGTACATTTCTTAAAACCTTTAACAGAAAAGAGTCACTGGATCCATAGAAAAATGAAACACGGCAATAAAAACTGTCCCCTTATTATTTACAAACATTTTGAAGTTTCTTCTTGTTCCAAAAGATGTTGAAATCATATATAGTGCAAGTGTGTACTGTCAGTTGAGCAGTATTAAGTCAACAGGAGTTTTGTGCAATTTTAAAGGATTAAAAACTGTTTTTGGGGGTTAAACATAAGAAAACTAACATTACAACGCTAGTTATTTCATTATTTTGTTTTATCCAAACACTGTCTATATGCATGTGCTTCATGATTGACGCCATGTTACTTAAACATGTTAAACTGTAGAAATGGTTTCCTTTTATCACTGTGAATATACTCAAGGTAATTCCACCCATTCAGCTCACAGGTTGTGAAACTAAGTGCGTCACAGCGAGGTTGGGACCGCATTAATTCCTCCCGTCTGAGCTTCTCTCTCCTGTTAAACCTGACCCGTCTGACCCGATACATTCATCTGAACCTCTGACCCGATACATTCATCTGAACCTCTGACCCGATACATTCATCTGAACCTCTGACCCGATACATTCATCTGAACCTCTGACCCGATACATTCATCTGAACCTCTGACCGGCTTCTCCTCCAGGAATAATCAGCACATTACTCGACCGCTGGGAACATCTAAAGAACGCCAAAACTGCTCCTGATATTTCACCCTAATTACAGAGAACGTGTCACGTGTGCGGGACAAATTAAAGGAATCACCACATGGAGTTTTTTTGGTCGCAGAGTCAGTGTCAATATCAGTTCCACAAAGATGTTCTAACCCCCCCTCTCCCCCCCCATAAATGTTATTAATGACGTCTGCATCACGGATATATATCTGATCCCTCAGGAACAGCCTGTCCTGGGACGACTGTCTCATTCCTGCAGCTACATGCATTGCAGATGCATTATGGGTATGTTTAGAAGTGGAACTATCAGATAAACCTTCTCCGATGTGCTGCATCACGTAGTTTAAAGAAGTTTGATGGGGGGTTTTCTACAAGGACATTTCATAATCAGACCCTGCAATAAAATAAATGAAGTTTCACTTTAGTAACTCAACTCAAAGTCACTCACTCAGCACTTGACTTTGACTTTGAACGATGTAAAGAATTGTTAGTTGTAGACTTAATCAAGATGCATGAAATCTTTTATTTATCTTTCAAGCAACACTTTTCTTCTTCTCTGCAGAGGAGGAATGTTGTTTGTGCGTTTCTGTTTCGACCCTTGCTCTCTTTGCAATTTGCCTCTCACTTAGTCCTTCAGGATTGAAAGATTAATCTGCTGTTAATCACTCTGAGGGAGTAAATCCTTCAACTGAAGTGCTCAAATGAAAAAGAAAAGTGTCTTTTAAGGACCTTTAAAGAGACAGACGTTATAACACACTCACTTCAGGTTCATCTTGTGCTTTTGATGCTTTTAAGAGGCTCATAATAATAACCTTGTGTGAGCAGTCAGACTGAGAGAGAAGGAGTCTGAGCGGCTGCCTGTGAACTCAGCGGTTTGTCGCTCTCAGACTTTGACCGGGTTTAGAGACGAGAAGCTTGGCAGACGTCCATCGCTCAGCCTGAAAGCGTCCTGACGTCTGCAGAGCTGCACGTGGCTACACCACAACACTGCAGACATTCACAGAGACACACCAGGGACAAAGTGTTCTGCTAAGCGCCTTTGTTTGGTCTGCAGGAGGTCATTCACACTGATGTGTCTCTTGCACTATTAGTATGTTGCATTGTTGGGGCTTTCATTGCCAAACCCTACAGTGTAGCGGTTTTGCATATATGACAATAAAGCCTGCATATCTTGATACCAGAATGAAGAAGTTAGTACCAATGATAGGGAGATTCCACGACTCTCGATACCAGCTGGATGCCACAATAGGGCGACCAATGGTCCATGGAAATCGCAATAAAGACTTGTGCAATTTTCAGTGAGCACAATATTTGTCAAAAAGCTAGAAATGTGTTCAAATATCGTTTTGAATAATCAGGTATAGTATAGCTGCAGATAAATGTTGGCTTACAAACAAACTGAACTGCTTTACAGAAGAAAGTTCAATAAATATATGTAAAAATCCATCCATCCTACTATCGATGTATCCTTCCATCAAATGAAGTAATCGGATCCTCACGAGGTGTATTCAGGTGTGTGTGTGTGTGTGTGAACAGGTGTGTGTGTGTTGGCGTCTCACCTGTCGCTGAGCACGGCCCCCTCGGCTCCCGGGGGGGCGATGGACAGCTGGAAGGGCGTGTTGAAGTAGTGCTGCTGCTCGTCGGAGCGATGCACCACCTCCCCCCCCCGCACCACCAGGAACCCAGAGTCCCCGAGGTTAGCCGTGTGCAGACGGTGGCTCCGCCGGTCCAGAACCACGATGCAGGCCGTGCTGCTGCCTGCACACACACACACACACATTTTATATTTAAATGCAAATATTAGGCAAAATATTCTGAAAATGAAATGCAAATCATCAGCTGGCTCTAGACGAATGCAAAAGCTAAACCACAGAACATTTGCTAAAAGCTTAAATCATTTGAATTTGGAGTTGAACAACTTTTTGTGTGTTATATTTTCATGTTGGCTTCAACCATGTCGAGTTGCAAGTATTTTGACATTTAGGTGTGGGAGATACGACACTATTACAGGAGAGCAACCGAAAGTACATACCTAGACTAAATGTATGACGTATATATTTGGTCATTTTTTGAAATGTTACTGCAAAAAATGTTATACTTTTAATAAGTTTCTCTTCAGTGCCTGATGGAAACAAAGCTGCAACCATCCTTTTAACTTGATATGTTACTAGTCTCCCCATTAGCACGAGCATATCAGTGTTTCTAACACTTTAAACCTCGTTTCAGTTGCATAGAGAAAACCCTTTCTTAGAATACCTTTCCTGAGTGTGTCACCGTCACATTTCTGTGTTTGTTTCCCTAAGACAAGTCTTTCCCTCCAAACTTTCTACAGCTACATATCTGAGAAGCTTTCTCTCCGTTTATGGAAACAAACCCCGCTAAAAGTCTGGAGCCTGAATACACAAACTTGACATACCACAATCAGCGTCAAGTTGTACTACAGAGCAGAAACAGGAGCTGGTGGAGCAGCGGGCGGACATGGAGCAGCCACACCCTGCTGGTGATTCATCCTCTGAACCAAAACACTCTCTCTGGGATCAACCTTGAAGCCCCTCACGCTCTGTGACTCATTCCCTCCCTTTCTCTCTCCTGTTTTCTCTGCAGCAGCACAATAACTCTGCGGTGATCAAGCTGCACAATACAGAGCTGTTCCCCCGCTGCACATGTGATGACGGGCTGGAAAAGTACTGACACTCGCAGAGGAAGAAACATTTATCCAGCGAGTGTTGGTGCTTTGTTGTGAGGGAGTGGTGCGCAGGAGGGAACGGGCTTTGAGGAAGTGTAGTGCTCCGAGGGGCAGGTCGGGACTTGGGACATTCCCGGGACTTCTTAATATGACCGGGCTGTTCTGACTCATGATGGAAGAATCCGTATCCAGCCGACACGGAACTGAAACAGGCGGGACAAACAAGCTAACCCTAAAAACAGAGAGCTCTGACTCAAACCACACCGTGGAAAATCTCTCTCACAGAATGGGCTGTGCAGCTGAGGTTATTGCATGGATGTTAGAGAGCTTTTGTTTTATAGCGGGGTTGTGTGAGGATACTTATGCCTGCAGGAGATTACAGTTAGAACATGCAGATAGGAGTTACTGCATGGATGCAAAAGCTTTTATTTTGTCTGTCTGTGTCTCCAAACTAGGGGGCGTAACTATTGATAAGTCACCTCACATGACCCCACTTCAAAACACACTAATATCCCTGAAAGGTGAGAGGAGGACCAGATCCTGCTGACTGACGTGAAGTAGTTTAATACAAATAGAAAGGGAGGAGACCTCGTTTATAAAACCATAGACTGTCTATTCAACAATAATGTCTCTGCTGTATTTATATCCTAATTACATTATGTTGAGTGTCCTGCCTTCTTTAATGTGTATTATGAAGAGGTGGAGGAGACTCTCTGTCCCCTCGTTACTCACCCAGCAGCGGCACTTTGTTCTGCAGCAGCTCGTAGTAGCTGCTGGTGAGGACCCCCACCGGGTTACTGGGGACGAAGCGGCCCTCCTTCACCAGCCGCTCACACGTCTTCATCAGCGTCCCCGAGAACTGAGACGGGTCCACTCCATAGTCCCGCCAGCCGCCCACTCCATCTGCCACACCTGCAGGGATACACAAGGGTTTTTCATGATTAAGGCTAAGAAGTTTACCAACACGGGGAGGCACGACGAAATGAAAAGGCGTACATGAGCAGTGAAGATTCTGCGAGTAGCTTTTTAATAGGCCGAACTATTTTAAATGCAAGTACATACAAAAGTAAAGAGGTTAATTGTCCAAGGTTCAGTTGAAACGGATACGTTTTCAGTCTGCATGTTTTATTTTTGATTAATCTGTTGCTTGGTTTCTTGAGTTGTGTGATGGGTCTTTAAAATGTCAGAAATCGTATAAAAGCCCAAGATGGCTTTCTGAAAATGTCCTATTTTCTAGAAAGCCTAAAAGAACAATTCAAATTGTCAGAGGAGTAAGGAAACTAGAAGATATAGACATTTGAGAAGCTGGAATGACAACAGGTTGACCTCTTTTCTTTAAAAGAAAATACTTCTACCAATGATTGATGCTTTTCAAATGACAGATAGATAACTAGTTTGTCAACAGGTCAAGTGAAACCAAGCCAAGACAAATAAAAATCATCCTTCACATATCTCAAGACTTGTTCTACAAGTAAGATATCTTTGGGAGGAAGAGTGACATGCAGCTGCAGACAGAGAACAACGGGCACTTTCACAGAGACACAGAAAGGACATCAAGTACAGGAAAGAGACACATGTTAAGGAGCTGAAGGAAATGTCCCAGAACACAGCGTGTGACCAATTCAACCAATAAGTAGCAAGAGTCCTTTCAAATAATTGAACATAAGTACATGTTCTATCTACTGTAGTTCAGTGCACTCTAACTCTACTGATAACACGTGTTGGCTCCAAAACATAACCTCCCTGATTCCCAAATGCACAGAAACTCTCTGCTTTCTATAGAAACGTGATCTGTTTTGCAGGATAATGTGAGCACTAGTCTCGTTCCCCTAGGAGCACATGGTCTGCTGAAAGGTTTTCCTTGAGAGGAAACTTCAGTGTTGTTCCTCCCAGGACTGAGTGACCATACAAGGCTGGATCTCTGGGTCTCAGCCGGAGCCAGAACTCAGAAACAGACACACAACTGTGCAACTGATGAACTTACAAAAAATGCACTGTCCAAAGGATGTCTTGAGTTCTACTTGTACGTGTGCATCTTCTGGATTGACGCAGTATGCATAAACACAGATATGAAGGTTTTAAACTTGTGCTAAAGAGTCCGTTAATCAACCCTGAACTGAGCAGATTTTTAAAGCCAGCATTTATTTTGTTTACGGAGGACATCGACCATGTGAGGAATGCATTTTCCAGGACCAGGGCAGGCTTAGGTAATACTGAACTACATGTAAATAAACGATTAGATTCAGGAGATTCTGCAGCAGTGGCTTGTTGGTGGTTCAACTGCATCGTGATTCAAGTAGAAACACATTTTTTGTTGCCATTTTTGGTGAAGTTGGGTTCTGAAACAAAAGCCGTTTTGGGCCATACAAGGATAGGAATGTTTGTTTGCCAGCTAAAATTGAGTTTGACACAACAGCTATAAGGCAGTGCTGGAAAGTACACTCAAGTACTGACCCGAGTATTCACATGTTATGCAAGAAGAACAAATGTAGACCCATCTTCACTAGCGGCAACAAGAATTGTAAACATTAATGCATCAATATGTCCAATAGTATAAACATATATGATTCGGCAAATACGTCGTCTATGTAGTGTTACTTAGATTACATTATGAATGCATTGATTTTTCCAGCCTCTCAAATATTCAGATGTCCTGTTTTTCCTGTTTTATATCAAATTGAAGTGAATATTTGTGGGTTTTGGACTGACAAACACGACTTTTAAAGACATCACCTTGGACTTTGGAAACTGGGATGGATATTTTTTTTTCATTTAAAAACATTTTTAAGGCCAAACCATTAATCGAGAAATAGTCCATAGATGAATCACTAAGGAAACCAAACAGAGAGTTCTTTACAATAATCAAACAGTGCATGTTAGGCAAACTGATGAAATACTATGGCTTCAAAACATAACATCTGTGATTGCCATGAAAACCTTCCCAGTGCAAAACGATGTACAAATACTTATCATTGAGTATTATTACACTGGTGGTATATGAATACTTTTGGCATCTGCTTTGAAAAAGTAGTATTGTGTTCCGACAGCATTTATACAGTTCTCCGTTTAAAATACTGTTTCTACATTTGTTTTGATAATTTTCTGACCAAGCGTATTTGAAGCTAATGTACTTCAGGATTCTTGTCATTCTGAATATGTCTCCTCTTGTTTTTGGCACTTATTCTACATCATTTCGCATGAGATAGTTAGACAGATACTTTCATGCATCCCACATTGGAAAACTCTTCAGCTAAATGTAATTCTGAGAAAGAGACTGTTTACCTTTAACCCCCCATTCACGTCACAGCCAGTGTTATCAGTGGTGTAAAGTAACTAAGTAGATTTACTCAAGTACTGTCCGAGAGTACAATTTTGAGGGACTTTACTTGATTATTTCCATTTTTGTATAATTTGTGCTTCAACTCCACATAATTTCAGAGGTAAACACAACAGTATACTTCTAACTCCACTACATGTATTAATACCTTTAGTTACTTCACAGATGTGGATGAATGATGTGAAATATAACCAAGTGTTAAATCAGACTTTAGTTCCACCTGGAGTAAATTCACAAGCTACCCTGCAGTATACAAAGTCATTCAAACTAGCTGCACCTTTACCAGCTTTGAGAACACTTTCATGATCAATCATTATAAAACATATCATATATATTATTCTGAAATGGACCAATCTGCACAATGACTACTTTTACTTTAGGTACGTTAACTATATTTTGATGATAATACTTTTTTACTTTTACTTGAACATTTTGAATGCAGGACTTTTACTTTTTCCAACACTCTGGTACTTCTACTTTTACTCAAGAACCAGATCTGAGTACTTCCTCTGAGTGTTATTCAGCCATCCCATTGTTTTGGTTATTGTCTCCTCTCACTCACCCAGAACATCGGCGGATCTGTGTCGGGCGATGAAGCACGCGTCGTCCCCATAACACATCCCTTTCTTCAGGATGCCTTTCCGAAAGTCCTTCCCGAAGCCGCAGCTCGCCGTCACCAGGCTGTAGTCGCGGCCGTCGGTCTGAGAGAGTCCGCCGATGACAGCTCTGGCTAGCAGTCTACCGTAGGACAGCACGGACAACATCACCCACCAACCCGGGCTCCCACCGTCCAAACCCGGCCAGATGAGCAGAGGGAACCTGCTTGGCTTAGCGGCTAACGATGCTAACCAACCGCCGACAACAACAGGCTCAGCAGATGGAACCTGCTTAGCGGTTAAGGTGCTAACAATGCTAACCAACCGCCGACAACAGGCTCAGCAGAGGGAACCTGCTTAGCTTATCGGCTAACGTGCTAACAATGCTAACCAACCGCCGACAACAAAAACAACCGCTGTCAAGTAACGTCAACGGTTCTTTGAGCTTTTGTTCTGTTGCGTGATATCTAAGGGGAGAAAAATCACATTACACAGTCGCCTCTTCCGCTCCAGAAGACCCGTAAGTGTTGCTTCTTCGCAGCCATAGTGCCAATTATGCCGTCCAGACACACTACATAACACCAAAGTGATGTGTGTGTCTGCTTCACACACACTCCGAGCTGCGAGCGAGGTCTTGTGACTGCTCTGACGTCAGACACCATTACACAATCTGCGTTTCCTTATAAGGAAGTGCGAAAACCTCCTACTTTAATAAATAAATGCTATCTTATCTTTTAAAACAAATGGATCCAAATTCCAAGCGTATGTCGTCAAACAGCCAATAAAAAAAAAAATGAAATAAATGTATAATATATAAAAAAAATACATAAAAATACATTCATAATATAAAAAAATATGTAGTTATTAAAAAAAAAGTGTTTGTGTAGTCATTTTTAATTATGCAATTGTATTTGTTTACACGCACTTCACTCCTATTAACACATGTCGTCTTTTATTTTTATTTATATTGTAACACGTTCTTTAATGTTATAAAACCATGTTTTGTTCCTAAAATGTTTTAAAATTTTAATAAAAAGGTTACAAAAATCCTACTTTTTACATGTTTGTTGTATTTTTTATAACCTTTTTTTCATCCATACATTAGGAATAAAACACAGTTCACCCTACATTTATCTGACAACTTTAGATACTTAAAGAAAATTAATCAGAGAAAAGCAGTAAATTCCTAAAATATTACGTTCTTGCAGCACTTTTTATGCATTATAGTGAGACTGGCAGAGTAATGTCTGTCTCCCCCTTGTGGGTGATGCCTGAGGGGCTCTTATGCAATGTATAGTTGTAGTTTTTTGCATTGTGAATATGATGAAAAAACAGTATATATTGGAACGAATGACAATCAGACACCAGTTTCCCCCTAAAATACACTCAAAGTTTATTAGAAAGATTTAGACATTACAAGAGTGCTTCTTTATTACTTTAATTTTAGCACGAGACTTGTTTAAAAATGTGATGAAGCAGTGTAACTCAATATCATACGACACTGACCGCCAACAAACTGTAAATAAAGTAGAACATAAGTAAACAGGTGTTTGTGACTCGTCCCCCCCCCCTTGTAGGTTTTACAGCCATTAATACCCTTTACCGACAGTGAGAGAAAAGATGACAAATCAACGAGACAGGAACGAAACTGGAGAAATTGTGCACAGCTTCAAAACAAGGCATTCCTGTGCATAAGTAGCCGTATTGTTAACGTTATATTCCTGATCCAACAGTCATATGTGGCAAAGACTAGCTGCAAAATGGAGTGCAAAACACCTGAGGTTCTTCATGGTGACATATCAATTTACCCCCGTGGACAAAACAACAAAACACTTTGCTTTCATCGGGTAGGAGTGAACATCTTTTCAGTATTGGCGGCCTGAAGGATAGCCACTCCTTCAGAAGCAGAGGACGAAAGCAGGACAGAGGAGTGAAGCTCTGGACATTTTTAATTCCTCACTTCACCCCCGAAAACACTCATTTCTTGGCGGTCTTGGTGACCATGTTGCGGGGGGGAGTCACGGGACGACTGCCGTTGGGCTTCTTCTTCTCAGCTGGTTTCAAAATCTATAGAAGATGGAGATAAAAACACGGTTAGAGAGTAATAGAGAGAACGATTAATCGATTTTAAATTGAAATCGCGATTTTAAATGATGCAATTATCAAATCGCAAAGCCTGCGCCTTCTCGTGTGTCAGTCATCCACACCAATCAGAAGTGCTGTGCTCCACATGCACCAGCCATTGTTTACCAATCAGAAGTGGCCCATGATAGAAGGTGATAGACAGATTGATCCAATCACCTGCCAAGTATTTTTGAAAGTGCCTGCCCTTTCCAAATGGCTTCCAATAGCCACGTTCACACCAAGTACTTTGCCGTACTTAGTTCCCAGCACTTAGTTCCCAGCACTTAGTACCCCTTAGAACTAAGAGCCGATCGCGTTCACACCGGAATAAATTCCATGAGGGAAGATTACGCAAATGAGCCGCTGACGTCACTTCTTCTTCTTCTGCTTGGGGTTTACTGGCAGGCCGCAAACAACTTCACGGCGTATACTGCCACCTGAAGTCCCCGGCCGGAAGTCCCCGGAGTTGGGGACTGACTTCAGTAGAAGCTGCTGGGACTCCCAGCAGCTTCTACTAGGACAGTTCGAGGGACTAAAGAGTTCGGGGGGGAACAAGTACCGGCTAAGTACTTGGTGTGAAAGCGGCTATAGAGAACATTTGGGACATTTTTCATTCTTTTCTTTAATATTTATATAAATGGTAAATAGATAAAATGAGACTACATTGAGGTCACTTTTTATTAATGTTCTAACTGCAGTCACAGATGAACCGACGTCTCTTAATATTCGTCTAAAATTTGGCGTTATTTCTACCTTTTTTGATGGTTTTATAGCCTTTAATACCCTCTACCGACAGTGAGAAAAAAGAAAAGACAAATCAATAAGAAATTAAATTAAGAGATTCAAAGAAAACATTTCGGTTTCTCACTATTTTCAATTCATAAAAACCAATACATGTAATGTTAAATGGTTAAAACAAGACATTGAAGTATTGTTTTATATGAATGTTCTACCTGCAGTCAGAATCATCTGATATTTTGTCTCCTAATTTTGCGTCTTTATTTCATTTCTTTGATCAATTCTGACATTTCTTATAATAAATCACGTACCCGGTTTAGACCAAACTAATGTGTGATTTTCATTTTTATATTTAATAAGTTAGCTTGCTCTTTATTATTTCTTCCTTGGGACTCAAAAGGATTTCTGATCTAGCAGAAGTCTGACAGATGCATTTAGGTTGAAGTGAATACACGTTGCTATCCCTTTATTTTAACACTCTTAGCCTATAACCTTCCAATGTGTGCCAATAGAGTGCAGCAGGGATGACGTATTTACCCGAAGCTGCGCATGGGTTCCCTCGACAAAAAAGCAACAGGATTTCTCCATAGGATTTTGGAAAATAGCTCGAAATAAGGTCTGTGGAAAACGAACCTGTTTGATAAATGCACGTTTTGTTCAGCCGGATAATCTCCACACGTCTACCCTACTTTTATCATTTTCGAATCATAAATCTAATCGCCAGAAGCAAAATGCTAACGTCATGCTATAAAGAAACTACAGCCGAGTCCAGCAGCACGACTTCAACGTCAACTTAAGATCCATATTCAAAAATACAGATTCTAAATCAGGGGTGTCAAACTCAATTTCATCGCGGGCCACATCAGCATTATGGTTGCCCTCAAAGGGCCGGTTGTAATTTTAACACTATATAAATATACATATATAAATATCAAAATAATGTTTTATACTGTATAACAATATTGCCTCTGCATTGGAGTATTATTGGTTTTGGCAATAACTACGTCTGAAAGCACATGGTTGTGCATTAATGTATTGTGCACGTAGACACAAAAATACTGTATGTGGGCTCAGACTAACATTTCACTCTCTTACTGTTACATAAATCCCATGAATTTATGAAATTTAGTTAGCCTCATCATATCTTATCAAAAAGAGATACAATGTTTGTGAAATCTATTTTTTGTGAATAATAAAGTATTTTTCTTTTGTATATCAAGCATTATTTAAGTAGGCTATATTTCATTTGAATTCAGCAATAATATTTTAATAGTCTGAAAGCCAAGACTTTGAGAACCCCCTGTCCCAGATCCTGCTGTGTTACTATCACCTGTCACTCACTATTTCAGTAAGCAGTGAGTGGGGGGGGGGGGCGGCGGCGTGTTGAGGAGGAACAGAGTGAGAGGGGACAGGGATCGCGGAAGTTTTCCTCCTTCCTTTACAAACTTTACACAAGTATTTATAAGTATTTATCGTCTGAATATAGCAAAAAGACGTTCATACTCTGCAAGCCAAGACCTCATATATTTTAATCAACCAGAAACCGGAAATAACCGTAACGCGAGTTTTTCTAAAACATAATAAATCCATGTGTGTCTCTGAGCCGCAGCAACACCGACTGATTCTTAAAGAGCGGGTCATTCTGTCTGTTTGTTCTGGGACTGGAGTTGCTTGTCTCGGTTGCTGAAGCAGACTTTGCTCCGTGTTTGGTGTCTCTGTGCCGCTGTAAATTATGTTCCTTCAACTCTGTGTCACTCACAGTCACACACTGGTCACTCACCGCCTCAGAGTGCCGCTGCTGATAGGAAGTCGCTTCAGTGCGCACGTCACAAAACGAAATGCATTTTGGGACATGCTGTTTATGGGCAACGTGCTTAAACGGCATGTAACCGTATAATAAACTGTTTATATTCTTTGCGAGCTCTCGCGGGCCACATAAAATGACGTGGCGGGCCACATTTGGCCCGCGGGCCTTGAGTTTGACACGTCTGTTCTAAATGGTACGAGTTGAAGCGTTTGTTTGAACAGTTAGCAGGAGGCAGGTACTTGCTTTCAAGCAGAACAGGGCAAATAAACTTAGAGGGAGTGTTTACGTGTTCGACGTAATGACGTACAACGGCCTCAACAACTTCTGTAGTCCTATTCAGCCACTTGGTAACAACCATCGTTTCTCAGACACGTCAACTCTTCAGAAATCACCAGTGGGGTCACTGCTGATGGATTTAATGTCCTAGAACAAAACGTGATCCGTCTCTTCAATGTGTCTCAACCACAGACCTTATTTACAGATATTTTCCAAAATCCTATGGAGAGATCCCATTGGCTCTGAGACGAGGGAACAGGAAGTGGTGAAATGCTGACTCACTTCCGGGTTTTAGGACTCATCACTGCACCACTCTATTCAAGGTTCTTTATTTGTCAAACGAACATAGCTACAGTGCAGTTATGTCGATGAAAATCTTGTGTCACAGGCTTCTCCAACAGAGCAACACAAAACACAGAAAAATATAGTGCGGGAAAAAATCTATTGGAGCGCGAGTGTCACATAGTGATGTCACCGTGTTCAGGAGGTAAACAAAGCTCACCTGAAAGGAGCACATGAGCGTCTCGTCCACACTCATCATGGCTCCGGCGTTATCGAACTCTCCGCAGTAGTTTGGCGCAGAGAACAAAGTGACCAGCTGACGCTTCGCAAAAAACTCGTAGCCGTCCTCCACGACCTGCGAAAGAGAGGAGGTTTCAAACAAGTCATTGAAAAGACGTTTTGTTATTGAGTGT